TTTTTATCTTTGTTTAACACTGCATATGGAAAATCGGACTCACTCCATTTGTCTTCCACATCCTCTTTATCCCTTCTTTGATGGAAAAAAAAAGTTTTAAAACACTAGCTTTATTCAAACTTGCTACACTTATCCTTACTTCACCATTTATATTTAGCCTCACTCCACTATTACATTTGTTCAGCTTCACTCTATCTAGGTTAGATGTTCCGTTCGAACTTGTTATGCTCATCTTCACTTTACAATCTATATCATTTATCCTCACTCCACTACAGTATTTGCTTATCCTCATTCCATTGTCGGAGCTAGACTCTCATGCGTCCCCTCTACCCCCTCCTTTGAAGAATTTTTTTTTGAAGTGTTAAGGCAAAAAGGAAAAAAGGAAAAAATGAGAAAAATTAAGGAAAAATAATTGTAGAAGAAGAAAAAATGGATAAAGAAGCATTAGAATAGGAATTTGTAGTAGTTGGGAATGCAGAAATGGGGAAATTAAAAGGACATGTGCTTAAAGTTTGGAAAATAGAAGACTTCTTATCATAAAATATTTCACCCACTATAAGCAAAAGATTCACACCGCTCAACCTCCTTAACACATAACTCAACATTTAAAATGGGAAAATCAATAATAATGTCCACACTCTTAAAGCAATACATAAACTCATTAACAATAACGATAAAGTAAAGGCTTTTATTAGCACTCACAACTAGGGACATTCATTGAACTTAAAGCTTTGACCAAAGTGAGTCAACCCTTGGAATAGGGGAATATTTAATACTAGAACTAATTAATGACTTTGTTAACGAAACAAAAGCAAGATTCTTAACTTCATGCATATAATTAACATTCAAATTAATATGAGGAGGACAGAAAACACTCAACTCATCATTGAACTGAAAATGAAAATCATAAGAGTCAGAAATGAATAATGTGCTAGGAAAAGAAGATGTTGCAAACAAAGAAGGAACACTAGCAACATGAAAAAATGGCCTAAGCTGAGAAATAAGAAAGGATTGGGAAAGAGCAAAAGATAAGGGGAAAAGATCAGATGGCATTTTGAAGGATTGACACCTATCTTGTGAAATCTTCATTTCATTTCCAAAGTTATTTTCATAATAATTAAGTTCCTCATCATAATCTGAAATCCATTTAAGATCGTAAACATTGTTTTCCCATAAACTTGATCCTCAAATATTCTAGACTACATCATATATAACTCGCTAATCGGTGTCATGATCATACTTCACATCAATGGGAGATGGCAAAACATCAAAAATAGGACAATCGATGTAATCACATCCTACAGAAGTTGGAGATGGCAATACACCAAAGATTGGGTGTAACACTAATATAATTATATCTCACAACACCAAAAATTCAATTTAATAGAGTAACATTAGTAGCCTCAAATAACATATTCCTTGATTGATGACGATATAGCATGGTAGGAGAAGAGAATGCAATGAAGATTAAAATAAAGAATAAATCTAAGCACAATAATAGGTAAAATTCTAGATTTTACAAAAAGCTAATATAGACCTAAATCTAAAAAAGAATGAAGAAATAAGAACAAAAAGCATAATCCCAAATACTAAAGCAAAGTATTGTTAAAAAAGCTTTGCTTTTTAGGGAAAAATTGTAGTATCCCTCACTAGTGGGTTTAGACCTTTACTTATATACAAAAATGGATAGACCAGATTTAGTCTCAAATGGATGGTCTATATGCTATAGTACTATAATTAATATATTACTTAGTCAGGGTAATACATACATACATATATACACATGTATTTATAGTCTAATCTTTTTGCTTGTGAATAAAAAACGGACAATAAGGACTCAGGAAACAAGCCACACTCGTGATAGCCTAAACACATGTTCTGGACTTAGTCATCTGCTAGCCAAAAATGGCATACACTATATTACAAATGGAGTTAGCATGACTAGCCTACTAAAAAAATTAAGCTCTTCATACAAACTCTTGAATTGAATCAACACCAGTTTTGGGCTGATCTCCTAGTGTTCTTTTGCTAACTTTCTCTTGTCTTGCATTTTAGATTCATATTCTTAGCCTACAGTCTTGACAATTGCTATGATGAGAAGTCATCCATGATCATATCATTGGCATAATCAAAATCCCTCAAATGCTCTCAATTTCTAAGTTGACAAAGTCGAAGGGGAGTGTGAAGTCCTTCTCAAGGTGGGGTTGGCATTATCTAGATGTTACCATATAACAAAATAATCTAAAATTGACAATATATGATTTTAAACTATGGTTGTTTGTCTTTGATTATTATTTTGACTTATTTTTATTAGTGTAAGGTTTCAAATTCAAGTCACACTCTTGCTCCATCTGGTCAAAAGCTTGATGCTTTTGGTTGATCGTACAAAATATATTATGCTGCAACCAAAATAGATCAAATTGAATGTAGTAATCACCTTTCACAACATCAGTGAAAGATGACATTGAAAACTTCATCACAAAGCACTCTCAATTCTGCAAACTAGTGCAAATTAGATCTCTAATGCATCCTTGCCACTCTTGCTGGCTACAAATGTGACTTGTCAATGGGCTGCACAATCTTCACCTCAATTACCACCAATTGTCACTTCCATTGGTTGTAAAGTAAGGCTAAAACTTTCCAAATGCTATTGCTCTCTGAGTAGAACCTAGTGCTGTCTATGTAGGGTCGTCCACTGCTGCTTTCCACATGCGCATACACTTGAGAATGGAAGCAGGCAAAAGACTTGTGCCACCAGCTCCAGCATCAATTCCAGTGTCGACCTCCCTAAACTTGTAATTAATACTACTGTCAAGTAAAGGTAAAGGTATAGTACCTCCAATCTCCATTGTTTGTTATTGCCTATAGATTCCACCACATTCATTTTAACATTTGTTGACTCCTTTGTGCTCTGATTGTTTAGCCTTTTGGCAATGAAAACAATTGCCATCCATAATAATATATTTTTAAAAAAAAATTGGTGATACATTAAACTCAGTTCTACTTTCTAAGATCTTCAGGCTGTTTGTGCTGTGGGTTTTCTCAGGTTGCAGCAAATAGTTGTTGGCTTCTTTGCTCAGCATACTTTTTCTCACTAGGCTTTGCTTTGGTTGTTTTTCGTTTTCCACCAGGTGGAGATCGAGTATGATGTAAAACTCTTTAGCTTCTTTTTCTCAACATCCAAACGACTCGTTGGCTCGAGCTTTGCTTTCCGGCACATTTGCTGCCGCTTCTACCGTTGAAGGTGTTTAGTCGAGAACCCCAGCCGCTTGAGAGACATGAGGCTTCCTCAAGGAACACTTGATCCCTGGAATCCAGTGACGAGCTCACGTTCCAGGCTCGAAACACAAACATCCGAAGTTTGGAGGAGCTTGAGAAAGCCCAGGGCGGTGTGTGATGTTGGCGATCTAGAGCGGCTGCTCCAGCCATCCGTGCTGGAGACTTGTCGAGACTTTGGGAGTTTGCTTGGATAAGAGGAAGACGATCAGTACACGGTGATGGTGAAGCATCTCATTGTTTTCTGCACCGGGAACTCGGAGTTTTTCCGCGGGTTTTTGGCTGATGCCATCAACTGGAGGCAAGTTTGCAAGGGTGGTGAAGGATGTTGTCGGCTGTCGCCCAGGAGGGAACGCCATCACCATCCTTGGGAGCCCAAACTTTCGATCCCAGCACCTTGTCCTGCAGCTTCCACGGGGAAAAGCTTGTAGAACTGCCCAGCTCTCGCGACCATCCGAGTCCAGCACGTCTGTGTTCGCGGTGCCCTTGAGCTGCGATGGGTCATAAGGATCGATGTCCAGCGTCCGGTCCAGTTCGTAGTTTGCATGCTGTGCGCCCGCAAGCTTTGCTCGCAGCCAATGTACTTGTAAAAGGTGGCGTTGGCCGTGACAAAGATGTGCCTCGCTCGTCTTTCGCACAAGAAACTGGAGAACGCATCTGGTCTACCTTCGAAATGGCTCCACCTTCGTCGTCTTCCAATGTGATTCCACGGAAGCATGCTCTTAATCGGAGCCTTGGAGGCCTCGGAGTAGTACAAGAAACCTTTGGTGAGTAGCCTCTCTCCTACTAGGTCGCGCTTTCCCAGCGCATTGCGAACCCTGGCGACTGCAGATGGATCGCAGGGTTGCTACGAACAAAGACCGCTCGACTCTAGCCCAGAGGCAGACTCACGGGACCGAGATAATCCATGTTCACAACAACACCATGAGCTGCAGAGCTTTTCCACAAAAGCAGTAGCCAAAAATTTTATAACTGCAACTTCAACTCCACCTTTCCATCTAAGGCAGTAAGTATCAAGCACAGCATCAAGATTCAAGTTCTGGCCACTTCTGGAGCACTTAAACCAGAATCATGATTCTCTATAATGCAGGTTATTGACACAAAATTTTAGGATTTTCGCACCTAGCATTTGCCCACAGAATACCGAACAAGATGTGTTTATAAACTTAACACCTCTTTATACCTTGGCAAACACCGGATTGCAGTGTTCCACGAGATGAGATTGTGCTGCGGCATTCTCTGGAGCATTGGTCTCGCCTGGCTGGTCCACGAGAGTTTTGATCATCGTGTTCCTGGAACACGTCCTTGTGTGTGTGCCTCTTCAAATGCCCATTTTAGGCAAATGCCGTAAGCAAAGTGTTGCAACAAAACTAGATTGTGCTGTGGACGCCCTCTTTGTGTGGATATTGTGGCGAATCCAATGATGAGATCCTCAATAGTTGCTCTTGAGCGAGTTTCTCTATCTCAATGTATGGTCTTCTTGCATCCATGTTTAAGAAGCATGCTAACGAAACACAATCCACACCTTTTCCAGTATCCTTGTAGCACACATCTAATGCCTTGATGTAGCGCTTTTGAGATGGTTTCGAGTCAACCAATACTTGATTTGATGTTTTATTTTCACTACTAACAAATATTTTGTTTTAAAACATATTGTAATGATATGGAGAATTCTAGACATTTCTAAGTGGAATCACTCTCCAAATATTGAGGCTACCAAACAATTTCTTCACCATAATCATCACTTATTAATTGCTTAAACTTGCTTCCCAAATAGAAATTAGTGTGCTTACATCCTAGACTCACCATGGACAGTATCTCTCCTCTGCAGAGTTTTCCCATGCATGATCCTCCCTGTAAGAGCTGCCACAAACCAGGTTTACGCCTTGTCACAACAGTCATACACAATTATACTACAAATATTTCACGCGCGAGGCTCCAAAGTAATGGGGATTTTCACCGTCTCTTCTCCTCTCAAAACTTCCACGGTTATCTGCACACACATGAAATCGAATCGTTAGACCGGTGTAAAGGGAGCCGGAAGAAGAGGATATGTACCTTGTCGCCAACCTTGCATCGATCTAAAACTCTGTACAGATCGCTTCCATTGGAGATCTTTTGGTTGTTTATCGAGGTGATAATGTCTCCAAGAACAAGCCGACCATAGCCGTCTCGTTTCGTCGGCCTCAGCCCCTGCATCCAAGTTGGAAAAGATACTTATAAGCGATTTCAAGCGTTACCGCTTTGCCAGCAGGTCCTCCGGGAGGGGCATCCAGCACAAGCACTCCGCTGACGCCAAGTTGCTCCACAGATTGCTCGGGTGCAAAAGTGATGCCAAGCACGGGTCTTGTCACTCGTCCATACTTGATGAGTTGCTCCACAATGCCGCTCACCTGGCCACGTACAATGGTGGTCATGCAACGCAGTCACGCGTGAAAAACCACATACCGTATCAACCGGTATCGAGAATCCCACTCCCGACGAAGCGCCCGACGGGGAATAGATAGCCGTGTTGATCCCAATCAAGTCTCCCGAGCTGTCGAGCAACGGGCCTCCACTGTTACCGGGATTGATCGCCGCATCTGTCTGGATGACATCTTGTATCGGACGTCCCGTCGCAGCGGAGCTGATCTCACGCCTCAGGCCACTACTCGAGGATCAAACTTAGAACGCTTTCACTTCTAGAGGAAAGCATGTAGCATACCTGATGACTCCGGTGGTGAGCGTATGATCCAAGCCGAACTAGAGACACCATGCCCCCCTAGCTACGTCAGTCACTCGCGGAGCTGGCCAGCGGCAAGATGGAAAAGGATTTCGAAACTACTTACAGGGTTGCCGATGGCGTACACCTTCTGGCCAACCAGGAGATCGGACGACGTCCCCACGGGTATCGGCTTCAGCCTGTCCCGCGGAGCATCGATATGTAACACTGCTACGTCCTTGTCTTCGTCGAATCCCACGACGTCGGCCTCGTACACGCTCTGGTCGGCCAGAGTGACTCTGCCAGTGGAAAGATCACTGCATCAGCAAGCCGAGCTAAACAACATCGCGTACCGGAGATCCGAGGCCCCCCGGATGACGTGAAAGTTGGTCACGACGTGGCCCTCCTTGTCCCACACGAATCCGGAGCCCGAGCCTTGTGGAACTTCGAGCACGTCCAGCGTGAACGCATCGCGCCTGTGAAGTGAGGCATGAGCTCTGTGATCACGAGAGATGGAGGTGAAACAAGCGCTATAGCAAACCTGGCGGCGAGATTGGTGATGTAGACCACGGAGGGAGTGTTGAGCTTGAAGAGCTGGACCGTGGCCAGCTCGTCGCTCTGGAGCTTCCTGGGCGGAGCGGTCACAAACGCGTGGGCATCCAGCGGCGGCGCCACCGCCGACAGCGCAATCACAAGCGAGGCAATGCAGATGGCCAGCCCCGACTTGGCCTTGTCGTGGTTGTCGCCACCAATTGCTCCTCCCAGCGATCGCCACAGGACCGATCCTTTGCTCGTGACCGCATTGAGGAAGCGCTCCAGCCCGGAGGAACTGCTCGCATTCCTGGTGCTCGTGGCCAAAACCCTAAACCTCAGCCTGGAGGAGGCGGCAGCGCCTGGTCTGACCAGAAGAATCCTTGTTGGAGATGCCCACGGCACTGGCGCCAGCGGCGGCGCCGGCATCAAACCCCCCAGCGCACTGGCCGCCATCGCGGACTAGTAGTGATCACTGGCGAGAGGAGGAAGATAAAGTATAACTTGTGTGATTGATTATATAAACAAGGAGAGAGGAGGGGGAGGAGGAGAGGGAACCACGCAAACACTAGCCTCTACCTTGGAGGGAATGGATAAGAGGGTGCTAGAGCTCCATGGGCTGTGGAGCTCCAGAGCTACCAGATGGGCTCCCAGGCGCCGTGGAATGCTTGGGACGAAAGGGCAGCAATGCGGTGTAAGGTGGTTAGGGTCGTCATCCTCGTCCGCCATGAATTGCACTGGTAGGAAGCGAGCGAGCGAGCGATCTTTGTTTCCCTCTTGTTTGTGCTGATAGCAGAGATTCTTCTTGCAGCACCAGCAGCAGCAGTAGCAGCAGCGCCAGCAGCAGCCAAGGCGGCACCTTACCTCGACGACGCAGCACAACTCATCAAGAGCGTCGAGACTTTCATTTTCGATTGTGATGGTCAGTGTGCTCTCGTTCGCTCTCTCCGAGTGTTCTGTAAGACCAACCGGTGATCGATCTTCCAGGTGTGATATGGAAAGGGGATAAGCTCATCGAGGGCGTGCCCGAGACCCTGGATATGCTCAGAAGAATGGTGCTTTGTGACAAACTTCTGCCTATATCTTACACCATCTTTGCAGGGAAAGCGCCTTGTTTTCGTCACGAACAACTCTACAAAGTCGAGGAAACAATACGGGAAGAAGTTTGAGACGCTGGGGCTCAACGTGAACGAGGTAAAGGCTTTCGATCACCGAGCGCTCTTGTAATTTTTGTGGAGATTGTGGCAGGAGGAGATCTTTGCTTCGTCTTTTGCCGCGGCCGCATACTTGCAGTCTATAAACTTCCCTTCCAACAAGAAGGTGTGTGTTTCTCTCAGAAATCTGCGTGAGCTGTCACTTATCCCCGCTTTCCACAGGTCTACATTCTCGGTGAAGTTGGAATACAAAAGGAGATGGAGCAGGCAGGAATAAACTTCATCGGTGGCCCTGTGAGTGGTTTTTTCTTCCATCAAAACGCTTGTGTACCATCTTCCTTACAGATTGGAGCCTCTGTTTGATGAATTAGGAAGACGCTGATAGGAAGATCAATCTAGAACCGGGGCAACTAATGGAACATGACAAAGACGTTGGTGCCGTTGTTGTGGGATTCGATCGATACATCAACTACTACAAAATCCAGTGAGTGGCAACAACAGCATGCGCTTTGCGATTCTAACTTGCTGCCTTGAAGGTATGCCACCCTGTGCATTCGAGAGAACCCGGGGTGCCTCTTCATCGGTACAAACTGCGACGCTGTTACGCATCTGACAGATGCACAGGAGTGGGCTGGTAATGCACTTTCGTTGAGCTAAACTATAGAGTGACTAAAGTGCGCAAATCTTAGGAGGTGGAGCCATGGTTGGCTGCATCAAAGCCTCCACCAAGAGGGAGCCGCTCGTCGTTGGAAAGCCTTCGACTTTCATGATGGATTATCTGTCCAACAAGTAAGACGTGAGACTTTGAGTGAAGCACATAAAAGGCTGGCTTGCTTTGTGCAGGTTTGGCATCTCCAAAACGCAGATTTGCATGGTGGGAGATCGATTGGACACGGATATTTTGTTCGGCCAAAACGGTGGCTGCAAGACGCTTCTGGTCTTGTCGGGTAACTACGTGTGCGCTTGACTGATGTAGTGCTTATCTCCATGCTGGTCTTTCTCAGGTGTGACGACCTTGAAAACTTTGGAGAGTCCGGACAACACGATTCAGCCGGACTATTACGCGAACGGGCTTTCCGACTTGCTCAAGCTTGCGAAGCCTGTGGTCTAAGACACAGAGAGCCATGCAAAAGCATGGAAATATAATCCATTCACAGCGATTTTAGACAGATTTGGACGATGCCACAGACATGATTCGCACGAAGTCTGCCTCCGTCACCTCCCCGTCTCCTAGACAAGTTCGTGTAGCAACAAGAAATCGAAAACGTTTGTTACGCACCATCAGAGTCTGCAACGCGGATCATGTCCTCTACTTCTTTGTCACTGAATGGCAGCTCCAGCTCCACGGCCAAGCGCCTCAAATCTCTGAAGGACAGCATGCCCTGACCAGGCAACCATTCAGCGTGTAAGTTGAAGAACGCAACTCCACTCACCCGGCCTTGTTCATCCAGGATTGCAAATACCCGGACCAGCTCCTGCTTTGCCTCTCGTTCTCCCATCTTCTTGGTCATCATCTCCACAAACTCTTCGAAGTCGAGGGTGCCGCTCTGGTCAACGTCTACACTCGCCATCATGTCTCGTATCTCCTGCCACAGCTTTGAGTTCTATGCTCTAGAAAGTTATCGAAAGTTACCTGTGCGCTTGTTTCGAATCCCAGTGCTCTAGATCATGCCAGGGATCAAGGAAAACCAAACAGGATATCGACTTACTTCATTGCGACTCTGAGCTCCTTCGCATCAATCGTTCCTGGGATGATAGATACATCGATCAAAAGAATTCCACTAAGAGATGTGAAGAAAACCTGATGAATCCGTGTCAAACATGTCGAAGGCCTCGCGAAGCTCGCTCCGCTGCTCGTCCGTGATCCCCTGCATCCATGGCTGCTGCTCCTTGCTCATGATCAGATCGATGAGGACTAGATTGCTACAATGATGATCTGGAAAAGTCCATGTTTCAAGCTGTAGGTAGTGTGACTTGGTAAAGCACCGAAGACTATGCGCGCGTGGTCCTCACGCGAGGCGAGGTATCAAAGGAGTGGGGAATCTTATGCTCCGGGCGGGAGGAGGAGGAGGAGGAGCAGCGCGTTTAATCGAGGAAAGAGAACTTTTGGTAGCACTGATCAAGGAGTGTGGAGATGCCCAAGACCTCAGCGAGGCTCGCCGCCTCCACTCCCACATCCTCAACACCGCCCACAACCGGAACCGCTTGGTGGCCAACTTCACCATCGAGATGTATGGCAACTGCGGCAGCGTGGAGGACGCACGTCGCGCGTTTGAGTCCATCACCCAGCCCAACCTCTTCTCTTGGAGCATCATCACCCAGGCGTATGCCCAGAATGGGCATGTTGCCGAGGCCAAGAACCTGTTCGACAGGATGCCGCAGCGGAATCTCGTGTGCTGGAACACTCTCATGTCCGGGCTCGCGCAGGTCGGTCAGGCAAGCCAGGCTCGCTCCGTCCTACTCAAGATGCCGCAGCACGGCGTCGTCTCCCTCAACATCCTTCTCGGAGCGTATGCCCAACTCGGGTATGTGTCGGATGCCAAGTCCGTGTTTGATGCGATTCCACAGCCCAATACGATCTCCACGAACCTCATCATCTCCGCTTACGCCCAGGCCGGCCACCTCCAAGCCGCCGAGGACGTCTTCTCGGCTGGCTGCTGTCCGGTGGACGAGATCTCCTGGAACACTCTGGCCATGGGCTACTGCCAGAGCAAGCAAATGGAGCGTGCCAAGGCTGTGTTTGATGCGACACCGCAGCCCAGCGTGTTCTCGTGGACCATTCTCCTGCAGGGCTATGCGCAAGCTGGGGAAGTTGGCAAGGCCAGGCTCGCTTTCGAGCGGATGCCCGCGTGGAACAAGGTGGCGTGGACGGCCATGGTGGCGAGCTACGGCGATCAGGGCTTGACGGGCGAGGCGTGGAGGGTGTTTGAGCAGGCCCCGCACAAAGACCTGGTGCTCTTCAACGCCATGGCCGCGGCGTATGCTCGAAACGGGCATTGCGACGAAGCGGACGCGCTGTTGGGGAGAATGCCGGCGTGGAGCGTCATGACATGGAACACCGCCGTGTCCGTGCGCGCGCTCCACGGTCGCCTCGACTCCGCCAAGGCGCTGTTTGACGCCTCCCCGGCACCCGACATCGTGACATGGAACTGCCTGGTGGCGGGGTACACGGGCAGCGGCCGGCTCGCGTCGGCCGTGGACATTCTGGCCAAGATGCCGGTGTGGAGCTCCATCGGCTGGAACGCACTGCTTCGCGCCTACTCGCTTGCCGGGGACGTTGGCAGCGCGAAGGCGCTGTTCGACGCAATGCCCGACCCGGACGTGGTGGCATGGACCGAGATGACGTCGGTGCTGGCCAGCGCGGGGCTGGGCGATGCCGCCATGACCAGCTTCCAGGAGATGCAGCTGTCGGGCCAGCAGCTGGACGACATGGTGATGACAAGCATCCTGTCGGCGTGCAGCCATGCCGGGCTGGTCGTCGAGGGTGTCTTCCTGTTCGCCACAATGTGTAGCGACCATGGGATGGCGGCAGCGCGGGAGCATTGGTCGTGCATGGTGGACTTGCTCGGGCGGGCTGGCCGCGTGGGAGATGCGCACCATATCATGGCCGAGATGCCAATCGACCCGGATCCGGCCACGTTCAAGTCGTTCCTCAGTGCCTGCCGCAACGCTCCCCCTATAGTTGAAGTCATGGCATCTGCGCGCGGGGCCGCCGAGGCCATCACCCACCTCGAGCCCGGCCGCTCCTACCCCTACGTGCTTCTCGCCAACCTCAGTCAACCCTGGTCATGACGGTCAAGTCAAGTCAGGTAATGACAGGTCAACGTAGGCCGACGACTCACGCAAGATGGACGCACAGGTGAGCTTGTAGCTAGGGCAAATTGGTGAGAGGAGGGAGGATGGTCTCCATCGCCAGGGATGGCGAGTGGGGTAGCGCCACATTGACCCGGGCGGTCGAGCAGCTCCGCTTGTACAAGGCAGCGGAGCTGTTGATCGACGACCAGATTGCTCCAAAGAGGGCGGCGGTGCTCATCTGTTTGTTCGAGGCCGCCGGAGAGATCCGCGTCATTCTGACCAAGAGGGCGGTCTCGCTCTCCACCCATTCAGGTAAGCGTAGCGCCTACCTCCATTGCATGCATGAGGGCTAGAATGCTACGCTTCACTCTTTCAGGAGAGGTGGCACTTCCCGGTGGCAAGAGGGACGAATCGGACGCGAATGATGCAGCCACCGCGGTTCGAGAGGCTTACGAGGAGATTGGTTTGGAGCCGGCATCCATCCAAGTTGTTGCCTCGCTCGAGCCCTTTCTATCCAAGGTACTCCATTCTTTGAAGCTTGGTTTGATTGATTCCACTGAGTTGGAGTGAGCACTGTCCAGCATTTCCTCAGGGTGACCCCGGTCGTGGCCATCCTACCCGACGCACAGAGCTTCGTTCCTTGCTGCAACCAAGCGGAGGTGGAGTCCCTGTTCGATGCGCCGCTGGAAATGTTCCTCCGGGTACGTACTTGTCTCTGATCTCGATCTCGACTTGGTCTATCATCTCGATCGTGTAAACTAAAAGCGCTTGGAACACAAACAGGACGAGAAGCATCGATCGGAGCAGCACAACCGGTGTGGAGGGAGCTACATGCTACACTACTTCGAGCTCGAGTACCAGGGCAACAAGTACGTCATCTGGGGGCTCACCGCCGCCATCCTCATCCGCGCGGCGTCCATCGTCTTCCAAAGGCCTCCCGAATTCGAGGAGTTCTGTCCAGACTTTAGATCGATCCATCGCTACCTTGTCAAACAGATCGCCATGAAATCCAGCTAGACATTTTCGAGAAGTTTTAGATCGGTCCAAACTAGTCAACGGTCCAGTCAACTGGCCAGTCAAAACTCGCGGCTGGCAGGAAGCTACCCGGGAGCTTCGACCGTGGTCTCTTCCCACCGAGGTAGGAATTAGGGTTCTTGGATGCCTTGGCGGTGTGAGGCGCGCTGTTCCAGAAGGCCGAGATGGCGACTGGTGGAAGAGTCCGCGGAGTGCCGCAGCAAGGTGAGTGGAGAATTTGAAGATCGAAGAGATAACAAGGATCTGTGACCAAACAGACCTCGACATCCGGCAGATCATCAAGGAAGCTTGCGTGCGATGGCTCAAACCACCCGAAGTGTGCGAGATTCTTCGGCATTATCAGAGCTACGGCTTCAATCTCAACCCCGTTCCGCCCAACAGGCCCGCCAGTGAGTGATCCTTTGCTCCTTCCTTGCCTGTGTCGCACTGACTTGTGACTTGCGGCTACTACTACTAGGTGGCTCCTTGTTCTTGTTTGATCGCAAGGCTTTGAGGTACTTCCGGAAGGATGGACACAACTGGAGGAAGAAGAAAGACGGCAAGACTGTTCGCGAGGCTCACGAGAGGCTCAAGGTTTGATTTTTATTTCTAGAAACAACAAGGCCATCACCATCGCGGTCTCTTGTATGCAGTCTGGGAGCATTGACGTGCTGCATTGTTACTATGCCCATGGAGAAGAGGATCAAAACTTTCAACGCCGGAGCTACTGGATGCTGGAAGGGTATACCAAAAGAACTTGAGATGGAAAATTTTTTCTCACTTGTATTGTGACTTGCAGTGCTTACGAACACATTGTTCTTGTTCACTACCTTCAAGTACACCAGGTCAGTGTTGCGGTGCTTGTGTCTTTCTTTCTTTTTCTAGCTTTGACTTCTCTTCCTTTTCCAGGGTCGTGCTTCTTCATACAGACCTCCAGAGCATCCGGAAGCTTTCTCGCACGCAATGTCACCCTCAGTATCCTCGGAGCACGACGATGTGGATTCAAGTGACGATGTCGAACAGATAGACCCGCCGCTGCCTCCACCAGAAGTTTCCAAGCCGCAGCCATCCCTGTTTCATCAACTCTCGTCAAAGGATTGGTCTGTGCTTCTGTCGGAAACTCAACAAGATCCCGTCTATCAGCAGCAGCAGCAGCAGCAGCAGCAGCAGCAGCCGCAGCAGCAGGGGGGTTTTTTTCAGTCCGGACAAGGTGGTGGTGTGTTGGGAGATGATATTGATCTTAACGATCTCTTAGACAGTCCAGGTATGACTCGAGCGGACGTTGCTTTCTGACAGACAGCTCGTTTGAAAAACTCTGTGCAGACAAGTTCCTCGGCCAGAAGGGGCTCACTCCTGCCGTGAGCTTGGACACGAGCGGATGGAATGAAGTTCTGCGAAGCTATCGAGAAAATCCAACCAATGGCCCGGTCAAGCAAGAGGTGCAAGAGGTGTCATGGAAAGAGACTTTAGAGCAGTGTACTACCCCTGCTACCAGGGATGCATTGCTGGGACAAGTCTCGCCCATGAAATTTGAGGATTGTATGTTCAAGTCGTCACCTAGAGCGGGTCTAAGTCCCAAAGCGATCATGGATGTTCTTTCTCCTCGGGGACTGGGTCGTCAACCACAGTCACTTCTCGAGGCTCAGCTCCGTGCTGCCACAGCCGAGAACGCCATGAAAACAGCACAAAGCATCTCTCCGGTGAGTGTATTATATTGTCACTTCTTACATGTAATCTCTAACACGTCCATGCAGACAAAGCAACGCTGGCGAGAGAGCGTTCCCTCTCCTCCGCCAGCACAAAACGTCCTTGTGGATATGGGGCGTGCTTCTCAACAGGTAAAAGCTTCTCCTTCTCTCGCTGGCCTGCTTTACTCAAGGACTTCATGTGTAGACAAATGCATATCAAAATACCTGGCAGCAGCAGCAGCAGCCGCAAGCTCATCAGCCTTGGCAGGCGCAGCAGTACGAGCTCGACACCGGGAGCGCACCGGTAAAAAACTCAAAGCCCGTCAAACAGGAAGAGAGCCCGGCCGACAACCTCAAGAAACTGGATAGTTTCGGACGATGGGTGATGCAAGAGATGGGTGACGATAGTCCAGGGGCGCTACTCGCGCCCGCTCCTGGGGACTCGGGCTCCCTTTGGATCGACGATGATAATGACAGAGAAGAAACCTCCAACCTCTCTACGCAAATGCAGCTTGACATGAGTGTCTCCATCGCCCAGGTCCAACGGTTTAGCATTACAGACTTCTCTCCGGACTGGGCTCCTTCCAACGAAGAAACCAAGGTCTCGTCTCACATATACTTATGTCGCTTCTAAGTTTTGAATCGCAGGTTCTCGTCTCCGGGAGGTTCTTGCCAACTGTTAGCAAACCGCTGGACGTGAAATGGTGCTGCATGTTTGGGGACGTTGAAGTTCCGGCGGACCTTATAGACGTGGGCGTCCTCCGGTGCAAAGTCCCTCCGCGAGGCCCAGGAAGGAGAAGGATACCCTTCTATATAACATGTAGCGACCGGCTAGCATGCAGCGAGGTGCGAGAGTTTGAGATCCGTGACGTCCCCGAGCAGCAAAGTGGACAGCTTGACAGGGAAGCGCTGCTTCAACTCAGATTCTCGAAGATGTTACTCTCGGCTCATGAGGGCGATGATCCAAAGGCTACAGTCGAGTGGAAGCAGATGGAGGACGCTGTGAGAGCGCGCAGCCTGAGTGCTACGAGCGTCAAGGAGATGCTGCTGCAGGCCTACTTCAAGCTTGACTTAGAGTTGTGGCTGGGTTCCAAACGCAGTGCCTCCGTCCTCGACGAGCATGGCCAAGGCCTTGTACATATGGCCTCGGCACTTGGCTACGACTGGGCCTTGAAACCGATCCTGGACGCTGGTGTCGTTCCAAACTTTCGGGACGTCCGCGGCTGGACCGCTTTGCACTGGGCTGCGGCATTTGGAAGGTCTGTCACCTTTTCTAGTTGGTCGTCCTCTTTCTTACACTCTTTCGTGCTAAACTGCAGGGAGGAAACTGTTGTTGCGCTCATAGCAGCTGGCACGAATCCAAGCCTTGTGACCGATCCCACGTCCAAGCATCCAAACGGTCAGCTCCCTTCGGACTTGGCTTCGGCCGCTGGCCACAAGGGAATAGCCGGCTTTCTGGCGGAGAAGGCGCTCACTGGCCACCTCTCGTCGCTCACCATCGCGGACACTAGCTTGAACGAGATCAACAGCATGTCTGCGACGCTGGCCGGCGAGAGCGCCGTCCAGGAGATGAAACGCCCCGTGGACGAGGAGCACCAGTCGCTGCTCAGGTCCTTCTCGGCCGTGAGGAACGCAACCAAGGCCGCCGCGCTCATACACTCGGCGTACCGCCTCGACTCTTTCCGCAGGAGGAGCGGGGGTGATGGCGGCGAGGAAAATCTTGATGACTTGGGCATGCAGCCGACCGAGCTCCATGCCATGGCACAGACGATTCGGAGGGGCCAGGGCCACCGTGATCATCACGGCAGGATGCAGTCGGTGGCCGCGTTGCAAATCCAGCGAAAGTTCCGCGGCTGGAAAGGCCGCAAGGATTTCCTGGCGCTGAGGAGGCACGTAGTCAGGATCCAGGTAGTGTAGCATGTTGCTCCGTCCGTCAACTTTTGTTCTAACGTTGTTTTCAAACGCAGGCGCATGTCCGAGGCCACCAAGTTCGCAAGCAGTTCCGGAAGATCCTGCGGGTGGTGAGCGTGATCGAGAAGGCGGTGCTGCGATGGAGGCGGAAACGCGTGGGTCTGCGGGGATTCAGGCCGGACAACACGAATGGCGTGAGCAGCGACGACGACGATTATCTCCGGGAGGGGCGGAAGCAGAAGGAGATTGTGCTGGACAAGGCCGTGGCGCGCGTCCAGTCCATGGCGCGCTCCGAGCAAGGCCGCGATCAATACCGCAGGATGCTCGAAGGCTCGCAATCGCAAGTAAGCTTTTCTACTTCTCTAAGACAGTGCCTCAAGTTGAAACTTACGTGGTTTTGGCTGCCAGGATCAGGATACTTTGGAAGATCAAGTCATGGTTATAGACTAGCTGGTGGAATATGTGAATTGTTCGAATAGATTCTTTGCTCTGGATTGTTGAGGGAGAATGGACAAAGAACAAGTGAAGCAAAGGAAAAGACCTGGATCATACCAGTGTGTCTCTGGACAAATCAATGTGGTGGTTTCAACAAGCACTGGAGCAAAGCTTTTAACTCCAACTTCCAAAAAGAAAGAGAGAGAGGTGAGAAAGCGAGCCAAATGCTCACACGAGGTGCCACGTCGTTTTTTCACCTTTTTTACCGCCAGCGGGAGCGGGCATCAGGTGCTGTGTCACATTCCACGGCAGGGGTAAAGAAAGAAAAGGGAGGGTGAAAACACTTTGAAAGATTAGGGCTAACGTATTAGCTGCTCCCATGGCGCCGAGGAGCCACAGATTTGTTTTGGGCAATGCCTCTTTTTGCGATGGCTGTGAGGGAGCAGCGTCCCTCGCTGCTGGGAGCTGGGAATCCATGGCTTTCTTGACCCCCATTTCCCTCGCGGCGCTAGGCTAGGCGACTAGAAAGCGCGCCAAGATTTCTTCCCCAGAGTGTGTGAGTGTGTGGATCTTGGTCTTGTCTTCTTGGAAGAGGAGGGAGGAGGATCCGAAAGGAATTGGCATGGATCCGGCAGGCAACAAGAATCTGATGGAGCAGCCACTGTGAATTCCAAGTAAGTTCTTGCCGGCCGGCACCGGCAGGGATTATGATCTCCAAGGATGGGAAATTCCACCAGGAAACGATGATCACGGCGAGGCGGTGGAGATCACAGCCTGCCAGCCCAGCGCCAACGCCATTTCAAGATGACAAGTGGAGTGAGCAGGGAAGCAAATCCTTGCAAGACAAGCCGGCCATGGACGCTGCTCCGCGCGATGGCTGGGGGCTCAACATTCTCAAGCAGCAGCAAAAGGCGCGATTGCCCAAGGGGAGCTTTGTGGATTTGATTGGTGACGCCGACTTGGCCAAGCTCACTCTGAGAGATCATGACGAGGAGCTCCAGGAAGAGGCGTCCAGTACCAGCCGAGAATCCACCAGTGCCATCTCGGGGTCTTTGTCGAGCACGGAGCAACGCGGGGTTCCAGCGTCGTGTAGGACTACTGCTACTAGCGGCCGGGCCTCTTCACGGGCCTCCTCTAGCGTCGGCTCCTCTGGGGAGAGCTCGGACAACATAGATGGCTACTTCGATGTCGACGTAGATGACACAAGCGAGCGCCAGGCTTGTGGAGCCAGAGCGGCTGCTTACAAGCGGGGATTGAGCCAGAGGAGAATAAGAGGGAGCAGCAGTAGTGAGCAGCAGCTATCAAGCTCGAGCGTCGTCGAAGACTCGAGTGAAAAGGACGAGAAATGTTTGGAGAACGAGGGCAGGAAGAACTTCGAGGAGCTTCAACAACAACTACAACAAGAACAAAGAGCACAAGAAGAAGAAAAGGTGCAGCACCAACAAGTGGTACGTAAAATCTTTCCTTTTCTCTTTCTTTTCCAACAATTACCAAGGATTGGCATGCAGGATCCTTTACCAATTCAACATCCGGTGGAGGAACTCTTTTACGCTGTCAAGAACAAGGATGAAGCAAGAGTGAGGGCGCTGCACAGTGCAAGAGTTGTTCCACTAGAGGTTGCTTCAGGTTTTCTTTTTCCTCGAGTCCTTGTGTTTTAATATTCAAGTGGTTTGTTTTTTCTTTTCCTTGCAGTCAACCGACAAAAACGGGATGACACCGCTCATCGTGTCTTGCCTCGATGGAACCTTGCTCCAAATGGCACGTCTTCTTATCAGCTTGGGTGCAAACGTCCACGCATATCGATCCGGTAAATGTATTCAGCGTTTTGTTCGGGAGTTAGAAAACTCATTGCCGTTTGCTTGAATCCTCAAGGTTTACATGCCGGATATCCGTTGCATCATGCTGCCAAAAGGGGTCACGACCAGATAGTAGCGCTGCTTCTTTCTCGTGGTGGTATGTATGGTAGCTGTTCTCTAGACATCTGTAACAGCACTATTTTGCAGCTTCTGCATTGGCTGTGAATGATGATGGTCAAACAGCTCTAGATATGGCAAGGATACGAGGCCATGCTTCTGTGGTACGCGTGATAGAGGTACACGAAAACCCGCACTCTTGTTGTTTCACGTTTCTCATTTCAATTTTGTGTTTTCCCAAGGACTGGATTTCTCTCTTCAGGGGGATATTGCGACAAGTTACAGACAATGCAGGCTCTCAGATCATGAAAAGAATGTAAGCTGGGCCCGAGCCAAAGATGATTTGTTAAAACGTTGTGCTCCTTTGCAGCTGGGCGGTGGTTTTACCATCTGAAGTAACTTCCCATGGCGTTCCGAGGCACGAACTCGTTGTTTATAATTCTCGCAAGGTGAAACACAAGATGGTTTTCCGTTTATTCTTTTCCTTACGCGAGTCTGTGTCAGCAGGTTCCAATGCCAGAGTCAGTCATCCTTCTTGGAAGTGTTACTAGCGAGTTTGAGGAGCCAGACTACTTTCTATCAGATCCCTCAATGATCATAACGGACAAAGTCACAAGTAAGCCTTCGTCTTTTAAGCTAGCAATTATATGCTGGTTCATCCATCTCTGGCAGAGACGAAGTTCAAGTTCTACTCCCAGGAGCACGGAGACAAGCAACAGCTGTCGGAATTCTACAAAGCTTGCAAGGGAATTCCACAGGTGAGCAACTAGTTCTAGAGTGACACACCCATCGTCTAAACTCGTACGACTGTAGTGCAAGAAGCAGGCCTCCAAAGGCGAGAGGCTAGCCCGAACAAGGTCCGAGACTCTAGTTTCTCACGCCGGATCCATTCCTCCTCCATCAACACGCCGGAAGATGGACGACGTTGGGCCACGCCCTTCGCCTTCGGTGACTCGCTCCCGGTCGGAGAAGGTTCCAAGCTCCAGGAAGAACGTGATATTTCCAGAAGAGTCACTGAGGACGGACGAGCACAGGCAGTGTGTGATTTGCAAGCAGGCAGCAGCAGCAGCAGCAGCGACGCCGAGGACGTGCGCACACGTCTGTTCGTCGCGCTCATGCTTGGCCAAGCTCAAGAATGGTTCGTGTCCACTCTGCCGAGCTCCGGGACGCGGCCACCTGGGATAAGTAGCTCGTTCATTCTTTGGGAAATAAGAATAAAAACCTTCTGGAAGTTTTCGTGTATATTTCTTGGGATCCAAGCATTGAGCAATAGGTGGTGATATTATGTACAGGCGTGACAAACATGAAATGGAGAGACAGACGATAATAAGTTGGCTGATCTTATAGGAGTGAAGGCTCTGTTGTACGAGGTGTAGCTCACCGCTTCCTGAAAGACTGCGCACGGAATCTTCCGGAGCCAAAGTTCTGAACGCGTCCAAACTCGCGCTGCTCTTTGATGCTCGCAAACAAGGAGTCGAGAGTGCGGTGCCTCTTGGGCACATCGGAGTAGTCATCCAACTGTGGCCACGAACAAACCAACATCTTTCACCACGAGAAAAAAGAAAGCCGAGAAGCTATGCATATCCATACCTTGTTGGATCCATATGGCATCCTCAGCTGGACCTGCATTGGACGGTCGTAGTCTTCAAAGTCGTCCCCCAGATCGTCACGAAATCGAAACTCATTGTCCCAGTTCATTCTCGCACCGCCGCCGCCGCCGCCGCCTCCCCCACGCCCTGGAGGAGGTGGCCTTTGCGTTGGTGCTGGCCTGGCAAAAACACGAAACCGTCATCAAAAGATCAGAGAGATACCGAGAGAGTAGAGAGAGCATTCCATCCATCATCCATATCCAGCCAGCCAGCCAGCATACTACTATACACCGACGACGATCGCTTGAATCGAAAGAACCAGCGCCTTGGCTTGACAGCCATTCCAGAGCAGCCACCAAAGACCAAAGTCGTTCGAGCGAGCGGGCGGGCGGTCCACCATTCTGTCGACCACCCGCATTGCTGTTCTTGCCAGAGGCTCTTGCCATTTTCAGGATCCAACCCACACAGCAGCCACCAGTAGCAGCAGTCCAGGCAAGAGAGGAGAAAAAAAAGTGGTAATGCACCATCCAAGACTCACTTGCTGTTCTCATTCACCACCGAGATCTTGAGCTTCCCGGCGGCTCCCTCGTAGATATCCACTCTATCGCCGGGAGCCAAGTGCTTCCGGGGGAAGCCACTCCGCTTAAACATCTCGTTCCTGTGGCAAGCCAACCAAGTCTTTAGCCACCTCCGCTCCAAAACCATACAGACTACCTGTTGCCACCGCCGCCGCCGCCCCCGCCGCCACCACGGCTCTTGATGGGTGCGTGATACGGCCGAGATCCAGAGTAGAAAGTCTCGCTCCTTCGCTCGGGAATCCTTCCCTGGAGGAGAGAAACAACGCCCAAGTCACATCCATACTTGCACAAAAGCTTCCTTTTTTTTTCCATGCCTGGCGGATTGCGGCGGAGCGAGAGGCCGCGGAGCGACGAATTGCCTCTCGGGCGTCTCGCCGCGGCGGCGGAGGGCGCTCGCTGCTGCGGTGTGAACCGTTGCTTCTCACGGGGCTGTGCATCATGGTGTCGCGGTTGAGCTTGATGATCTCATCTACACAGGGAAGAAAGAGCACGCATTTCATCCATCAGCGCCAGAGAATGCCAATGCAAATGCCAGTGCCAGAGCAGCGAAAATTTACCCAGAGACATGTCCATCTTCTCCTCCTCGCCCTCCTCCAGCTCATTGTTGAAATCCTCCTCGCGGGGCGGAGATACCATCTGGCTGCTGGACATGGCGGAGCGATCTCTCTCCCCCGCCCCGCCCGTTAAACCCTAGTGTAAACCCTCGCCGCTCGTTCTCTCGCCCCACCCAGGATAGCAAGCCAAACAAGAGATTGGGCTAGCAAGATATTTCCACAGCCGGGAGCACATCCTGGCCGTCCATATCCAACGGCATAGATGCAACCTTCACCATGGTTAACTATTAAAACCTTAATCCTTTATTAAGGCCGAACCTCCGAAGTTGTGTTTTGTTCGAGGCGTGTGAAATGCACCGATATTCCTTTTGGAAAATCTGCATTAGAAAATAGTAGAGATGTAGAGAAATTGGCAAAGAGAGTTAGTTATATAAATGAGGGCAAAAATAAAAGATTAATAATGTTTAAAAGTGTTTTTTAGTAAGTGATGAAAAGATTGTGAGTATTAATGAAATTGCACTCAATTTTTAATGAGCTTTAGAGTGTTTTTGGAAAGCCTTGATTTTAACTATATCTCACAGTCAGCCATTAGTAATAAAGCATCCTTAACAATTTTGCTTACATCTTTTGCAACTTTTCTAAATTCCCAATTGGGCATAATGTAGTGGAATCTACATAGTATAATGCCTTTTGGTCTCAGTTCTAATAAAGAGATAAGTAGCAATTGCAAACTTAATTGGATCTTGCAAGTTAAAAAATTCTGGTGTGGGAGACTTCTAATTGAGAATTACATATGTGTTTGACTGAGGGGCCCATAAGATCTTTAAATATTTGTTGGGAATTATAGTACTCTCACCACATTCTTGGAAAAACTTATTATACAGTTGGCCACATGGCAAAATATCCATTAGTAATGTTCTGCACAAGGGTTTAAAGGTTAGGGTTCTTGGAAGATAGTAAAGGATATGATATGTCTTTAAATATTTGTTAACATTACGTGGGCACAAGGGTTCTTGAATTGAAAAATTATAGTAAAGGATATGATATGAGCAGATATAATAACTTTCTGAGACATTTGATACCTGAAATTTATTGTAGCGGAATCAATTTATTATGTCATCAGATTTGGAAACTTACAGGATTGAAACTAGATCCTATTTCACAAATTTTCCATTTACAGATCACCTACACGTATGTTGGTATTTTCATAAAAAGAGACTATATCAAATGCCCGAAGTTAAAATCCGGGGCTGAAAGCATGGAACCTCCAGTAGACAAGGCGCGCCCTGGCGCCTCTCAAGGAGCTCCACTGCTTGCAAGCGATGGCCTCGGTCGCACTCTCGACGCTGGTGAATTCCACCAGAGCTTCCCTCCGCTTCCTCCCCTCCCTCGCCTGCGACACCTCCACCTTGACGATCACACCATGCTCCGCGAAGTGCCTCACCACGTCCACCTCTTGGATGTCCGGCACCAGGTTGGAGGCGTGGATCACCTTGGTCGGGGGGCAGCACTTCTTGGCATACGCGTACAGGAACCGGTTCCCAGTCCCCCAGCTGTAGAAATGCGTGTGAGGGTGCCGCAAGCATGAGTGATCTGATAGAGTGATCTCCATTTTCTTTCCAAACAGTGAAACTCCCTGCAACCACGCTTCAGCAGTGACAAGCACAAGCTAAACTCGACAGCTCTTGATACCTTGAGGCAGGCCATCGCAAGGTCCGCTTGGAAGCCGTCGCTCATCTGTACCAGTGCGAGCTCTGGTTTCACAAAGGAGCCTTTGATTCGCAGGACATTTCCGTAGACCGAGAAGAGGTTGTACAGCTTGTGCTCGTTTATCATCTGCAAGCCACAAGCCACGGCATTCAAGCTGTTCAGTCCAACGTAGTTAAAGGACCGCTGAGACGATCTCATACCCGCGTGTTTAGATTCGAGAGGAGCAGCACGCAGCGCTGGTTCGTTGTTGGACCTGAAGGCAACAGCCCGGAATTCCCTGGCTTGTAGCACAGCAAGACAAAAACGTATCAAACTCTGTACCGACATCGGACACCGGGTTTCATCAGGTGAACGTTTCCTGCGCCGAGAATGGACGGAAACCTTGCACTTGGCAAAGAACTGTTTGTGAAGTCTCTGCCAGAAAAGAACCACCAGATATACATGACTGGGAGAAAAGAAAACCGGAACGTAGTACCTGGAAAGATCGTTATTGCATGCCACACGAACTTCGTCGGTCCTGGAAACGGGAGAAAGTGTAAGTGCGAGTGACTAGAAAGGTACAAACTCACCTTGAGTATTGGATTTCCATAGTGCACGACCCGTTCAAGATCTTGCTTTTGTGGAGACGATGCTTGGCTTCACGAGCATCTCGTGGAGAAGCGTACTGGATGAGTGCCTGCGCAAGCACTGTGGAAGAAAGACATGAAAAGCCGCTATGAAACGAGGCAGGCCTACCAGTTGACTGAGGAAAGATGGCAATCTTCTCGATGGGCCCGAAACTCTTGAAGGTCTGATGGAGGGCATCCACGGTAACGTGACATACCGAGTCTAGCATCGTCACTAGAAGGATTGCGCTGCATGTTTCCTGAGCTTGGCACTCTTTAGCAAGAAAAAGAAAGCAAAGTGGTCGACTACCTCGGCCGGATAGAGCTCTTTACGAGCAGAGAACTGAATGGAAACGTCCCTCCCCCTGAGAAGAGATCTCAGTTACGAGCGAAAAGGAGAATGCGAGCACTCCCACCTTACGGTTGCCTGGCGCGATGCAAAGTGCCGGATGACTAGAAAGGCCTTGGCGATATCTTGCATTTGAACAAAAGCCTTTCACAGCGAGAGAAACAGTGAGCAAGAAAGAAGCTCTCACTCGCTTACTTGATTCCATGTCCTCAAGAGAACAATGCCGCTGACTCTTCCAAATGGGCGAACAAGCTCCACAAGATCGTCCTAGGTAGGAAAAACAAACGATTCTTCTTCTTGCGACAATCCGATCGATCTCTTCTACTCACCTCGGCCACATCCTGCGCCAGGTTGCGGAGATGGAGCACCTTGCAGGGGGAAGGATTTGGGAGCTCGGGCTCGCGAGGATACGCGCCGCAAGCAAAGCGATGGTAGCAGCGCCTGGGACGAAGCATTCCCCCTTTAAAGCCTTTAAAACATACCTTTTGCTGTGGTTTAGGGTTTATCGATTAGGGTTTAAGGGTTATGTAGAGAGGGGCGAAGAATGCACCAAGCTGCGTCGCGGCGCCTGCTCGCCAGGAGCGCAGATCTCTTCTTCTCCAGGCGCTACTGCGCTTCCCCTGCCGCTGGCGCTCTAGAATCCAAATCGCTCGACGAGAATGGATCAAAGCTCGAGCTGGAGCCGTCCAAGGTCTTACATTTTCGCAATCTCACGCCATACATAAGACGGGTGAGCGGTCTAGATCGCAAAAAAGAAGAGAACATAAGGATTTCGGATTTGTTTTGCCAGGGTGAGCTTGAGAAACTGGTTCGTCCTTTTGGAAGCGTGACGAGTTACCGATTGACGACAAGGACTCAGGTGTGTACTTGTCAACAGAGAAGCTCAAATGATCGTTTCGTGTCTTTCTTCCAGGCGCTCTTGGAGATGAAAAATGTGAAGCAGGCTAAGAAGGTCGTTGATCACTTTTCCTCGGCAAAGGCACTCGTGAAGTAAGTCATTTTTGTCTCCTTTTCCGTTCGTTCCAATTGCGTGAAAACAGAAAAACAGAAGTCTATGTTGGATTCTCACGGTTTCAAGAGCTAGAAAAGGATGTGTCCCGTCTAGCTGATCCGGTTCGTGCTAGACGTATAGCGTAAAGCCACCTAAAATCCAAACATTCTTTTGCAGAAACAAGGCGCGAGCAGCAAAGTCCTTGCAGTGACTGTTACCAATCCAATTTATCCCATCGACGTGTATGTGCTGCACAGGGTGTTCTGCCCCCATGGCAGCGTTGAGAAGATAACCATCTCCCGCAAGCTTGGTAAGTTTGTATCACACTTCCGCGTGACGTCTTATGGAATCTATTCGCGTGCAGGTATTTGCGGGTACATACAATTCGATTCCGTAAAAACTGCTGCTCACGTCAAAGATCTTCTCAATGATCGTCACATTTTCGATGGTTGCTGTAAGATGGAAATACAATATGCCAAGTGTGTGCCTTGTCTGTTTCTTCACTTCATCCTTTCTAATCGATAATGTTTTTTTAAGGTCCCAGGAACTTGGAGTGTATTTTAATGATGACAACAACAGGTAGAGAACTCCACGCCAGGCCCAAGCTCTCAGGCTAATCGTTTCTGTGCAGGGACTTCAAGGACACTTCCATTCCTTCAAGAGTACGGAGCGATCCATCGATTCTGGGTGCTCCGCCCGTTGAAAGTGTACCGGCACTGACTGCAGAGGACGCGGCCGCTGGAGCACCAGCCGTTGTTCCCACGCCTTTCATCGGCCGGCGGAAGCGGGTTGTGCGCGTGTCCAACTTGAACGTCGAGGTAATCTTCTCCTTCTGGAAGTTCGGCTGATTCATGTGCTTGGACTTGCAGAAAGTTGATGAGGACAAGCTCTTCAATCTTTTTTCTCCATATGGAAAGATAAGAAAGGTGCAGGTGATAAAAGTCACCGGTCAGGGCCTGATAGAGATGAGTGACGCGTTTCAAGCGGAACTGGCGTCAGCCTGTCTCAAGGTAACTTCCTCCCTTTATGGAGACATGTTCAAAACTAACGTCGGCTAGCATGGCTACAGGGTGCGCGGGTTTTCGAGAAAGAACTGGACACTGTGGTTGTAGACAAGGAGCTTAATCTCAACCAGAGCCGGGACTACACAGACGCGCACGACAACATTTTCTTTCCCAGCTTTGTGAGAAACTGTCGCGGTCCCTCGCCAACAATTTACGTGTGGGGACTCCCTTCAGGTGTCACCGATGCAGAGCTCATCACTCACTTTTCCCCGCATGGCGAGATAGCTGCCACTGAGGTGTTTGCATCCGAGGAAGGGAAGCCGCGAGCACGAGTTCGATTTGATACCAAAGAACAAGCAACCGAAGCTGTCGCTTGCAAGCAGTACAGCGTTGTCAATGGCTCCACGATCCGGCTCGCCTTTGCGATCAATGGGAAACCAAAGAAAACGTCCAGCAGTAACGCAGCGGAGGCTGGAGACTAGCCGAAAGAGAAAGAGGTACTTCCAAGCTTTCATAAATTCAACGTGTGGACTAAACCATACCAATGACCATTTCTCCTTGGTTGCAGATGTCAACGTTTCTCTCTTGCCTTCGACAGAGAAGCTGCGAATTGGAACTTTCTACGATTATGCATCACTGTGATGTCCATTTTTGACTTCGCGCAGATTAAAAGGTGTATGTTTCGGCGCACAGCCATCCGAGAGTTTGCCATGGAGGGACAATCATCAAAGTATCTGATGGCTTGGCTTTTGATAGTAACGGTCGAGCTCCACTTCTTGGCAGCGGGGTGTCGGCTGCTAGAGCACGAGATCCCTTCTCGGGCAGTCGTGGAAGTTTCGGTCTATTGCGAGATTTGCCACGAAGGGCGCAGCATCAAGAACATAGCACTGCCTGGTCCGTACTATCTCCATCTCTATAAGTTCCTGTCGATGATCACCAGTTCTAGTGGAGTTTACATTCTCGGCATGGTTTGATCCAGGTGTTGTTGCGTTCCTGGAGTGCAATGGTGCTCGTGTCAGTGGCAGTAGCACCACGGACTCGTCCGGGAAATGGTCGGTGGATGTTCCCAGCGGCTACAACTTGGAGAGGGATTGCCGGGTGTCCGTGCTCGAGCGCCCAAGTGGCTGTGGCTTATCGCCGGCCTCCAGCTCCATGCCAGACGTGAGACCGATCATACGAACGAGCAGCGATGGCAGCAGATTTGCCGCGGCCGAGCCTTTCGTTTACAACTCTCGCGATTGTGGCGAGAATGCGTATCGCCCAAGAAGCGCTCGCGCTCTTGCGGCCTCCACGAATGCACTCAGCCTTGGGCCCCCGGATCCACCGCGGCCTTAGACCTTCTCATCACAGCTCGATTCGATACTGTATATTTCTCGTGATTCGTTTTTGAGTAAAGCATATTGTTGTATTCAAAAAATATGCCGAGTGTACGGAAGGGATATACCGCGGTCCGAGCTTGTGAAATGCGGGCTTGTTTTTGTAGGGCGGCGGCGGCGGCGGCGGCGGCGAGAAGAAGAAGAGGAGGCGATGAGGTGGGAAGAGGTGGCCAAGGAGCGCGCAACGGGCAGAAGAATCCGTCCAGGCAAGCGATGGGGTCACACGCTCACTGCCGTCAACAATGGCAAGCTCCTCTTTCTCTTTGGCGGCTATGGCAAGATCGAGACGAGCCACGTCCATGTCTTCGATTCTGGTGAGTGGATCAGATGGAAAAATTCCTTCTTACACTGTGCCTTCATTGTTTTGGATTGAATTTGTTTTTGGCAGTGACAAAGTCGTGGAGCAAGCCTTTTCTGAAGGGCACGCTGCCTGCTCCCCGCGACAGCCATACATGCACAGCGGTGGGATCCAAGCTCTTTGTTTTCGGTGGCACCGATGGCACCAGTCCGCTGGACGAGCTCTACGTTCTTGACACGAGTAACTTCTCGGCCAACTCCTAGAGCTTCCTTTCATGCAATGCGCTCTAGCCTTTCTTTTCTAGATCTTCTAAGAGTAACTCCTAGAGCTCCCTGTCATGCAATGCAGCAACTTACACTTGGACAAAACCCGACACCAGTGGCGACATACCAGCGGCGAGAGAAGGACACAGTGCTGCTCTGGTTGGCGACGACCTCTACGTGTTTGGCGGCTGCGGCAAGAAGAAACAAGGCCAGGCTCGAGAAGTCTACTATGACGATCTCTATGCGCTCAGCACGAGTAAGTCCTTAACTTTGTCCTTCTCACAGTGAAGATGAGCTTTTGTTTGTGTGCGTAGCTTCATGTGCGTGGAGGAAAGTTTTGACATCGGGCCCTCGGCCTTGCTCAAGAGACAGCCACTCTATGTCATCCTTTGGAAACAAGCTCGTTCTTTTCGGAGGAGAGGATGTGCTCAACACGTACTTGGCGGACATCTACATTCTCGATGTAGGTAAGACGTGCCCGATGAATTTCTCTTGTGAAGATTAGATTTGTCGACTGCAGGAAGCTTGGAGTGGTCCAGGCTGGAAACACGTGGCGTGAAGCCGGCTCCGAGGGCCGGTCACGCGGCCGAGCGTATTGGCAACAACTTGATCATCTTTGGTGGCTTTGCGGACAAACGAACGCTTTTCGACGATGTTTACGTTCTTGATCTACGTAAGTTGGAACCTTTTTCTTTGTCTGCCTTTCCGTTTCATAGCGTCATGTCTAACCTGGTCTTAACACACCTAGTTTTCCAGTGAGTGGTGAGTGGCACAAGCCAGAAGTCACAGGAAACGGGCCCTCTCACCGCTTCTCTCTCGCAAGCGATCTGATCGATCCGGAAAGAGGTGTCGTCGCACTTTACGGTGGATGTAACGGGGAGCTTGAAGCGCTTCCTGAGATGTTCTTCTTGCACACAGGTATCGCACTAAATTGTCATCACTTCTTTCTTTCTATAGACAGCACAACATTTTTGCAGATCTTGTGACTTCTACTACTTCGAATCAGCAACAGGAATGTGATGGTTCACAGCAGCAACAACAAGTGCATGAACAGCCGGAGGTGTCGTTTAAGAGGGACTTGAGAGTCAGACGGAACACAAGGCAAGCTTCTTCGTCCACTTCCTCGTCCAGCTCGTCTGATAGCGAGCCAAGCTTGAAACGCCCAAAACTAAGCGGTGAGTTTTCAAGTTTCATATCTTTTCTGCCTATGATACCCTCTTACAGACGGACCAGAAACAAAGAGCACTGCTCGAGCGGTCCAGATCCCTTCTCCTTATAGCGTCAAGCCAGTGGCCGAGAAGATCTTCCAAGGCAAGATCACAAGCGTTTTTCATTACGGATATACGCTCGAAACCAGAATAGATGGCAAGCCTTTCCGTGGCGTGCTCTTCTCGTACAAACCAGGATTCACAGAGGCCGTAGAGTCATACTTGGCAACAGCAAAAACGAGGCAAGTCTTTGTACAGTTTCCATGTCCATCTCCTTTGCGAGTGTTTGCTTTGCTTGCCAGGCCAGAGACGAATGAAAGAGTGGAAGATTTCCACGAGAAGCCATCGCTACTAGGAGAGAGCGAATCAGTATTCTATCCTCCTCCTCCAATCTCTCCGCGTAAGTACAGGGATCTACTGGGGAGTAGCAGCAATCCTTTCTTGAATGACCTTGCATGGCACTCGACGTGATTGAATGCGTAAAAATCAATGTGGATAAGTACAGTTTCCTTCTTTCGCGTTCGAAGGGCCAAAAAAATCACCCACTCTAAGTTGAAGAAAAATGCACTGCCCGGGAATCGAACCCGGGTCTGTACCGTGGCAGGGTACTATTCTACCACTAGACCAGCAGTGCTCTGTGTTTTGTAGAAGCTTCTTAATTTACACCCTGTTGAAGAGGAAGATGAGGAGCTCACAAACTTTAATGAAAGTTTCAAAATCACCAAATCTTTTAAAAGGGAAAACACTCTTGGGAAGTTGCATAGTTCTCTGCTGGGGTTCGTCACGCGGCAAACAAGATGCTGCCTCAAATGATCGTGGCAGTTGTGACTAATGTAAACTTTGATAGAATCAAAGCTAATTAAAGCGCTTTCGCCCTTATTTTCGTTGTCTGGTGTTGTCAAAGTTTTGATGGAGACGAGAGAAAAGGATGATCCAGAGCTGCGACAGCCGCTGCTGCGACAAGGGCAAGCGCAAGCAAATGATGGCGACGAGCAGCAAGCGCCGTACACAAAGGCGGGGCTCCTCGGCTTGGCCACCTTCTCGTGGGTGGCGCCTCTGCTGAAAGTGGGATCAAAAAGGGCCCTGGAATCCAAAGACTTGCCCAAGCTCGCACCCAGCGAGAGTGCCGCGGCGGTGCACCAGCTGATGAGCAGGGCATGGCAGGCAAACGCAAGCTCATCCTACCGCCTCTCTAGGAGCTTGGTGAGCATTCTATGGAGGAACTTGGCGGTGGCATCGGCGCTACAGCTGGTGGCGATGGTGTGCTCCTACACTGGACCTTACCTCATGGACGACCTGGTGCAGAGCTTGGGCGGGGCTGAAGGCAAGTCCCTTGTCATGCTAGCGCTCATCCTGCTGCTATCGCGGCTTGTTGGGGGATGGGCACAGAGCCAGGGGCTCATACAAGGCCAGATCATCGAGCTGAGGAGCAAGTCGGCACTCACGGGTTTGCTCTACCTCAAGGGCCTGCGTCTCTCCAGCACCTCGCGGCAGGCTCATGGCAGCGGTGACATCGTCAACTACATGGCCATCGACACCGCTGGGGTGGCCAGCTGCTTGGAGTTCATCCACCATCTCTGGCGGCTGCCTCTCGAGGTGGTTCTGGCGCTGCTCATCCTCTACAAAAGCGTCGGTATCACGGCGATCGCGACTCTGGTGGCGACCGTGACCACCGTCGCCGTGAACCTGCCTTATACAAGCATGCAGGATGGATACCAGGCACAGATCATGAAGGCCAAGGACGTGAGGATGCGAGCCACAGCCGAGTGCTTGCGGAGCATGAAGATCCTCAAGTTGCAAGCTTGGGAAGAGGCTTATCTCAACAAGCTGGAAGCTCTGAGGAGAATAGAGTATGACTGGCTCAGAAAGATCTCGTATAACCGGGCTGTCTCCATCTTCCTCTTCTACATCTCGCCGGCATTTGTTGGGATCATCACCTTCGGGACTTGCATACTTCTCAAGGTACCCCTCACGACAGGCAGGGTCCTCTCAGCATTGGCTACGTTCAGAGTTCTCCAGGCGCCTCTGAGCAGCTTCCCCGACACTTTGTCCGTACTCGCACAGGCAAGGGTCTCTCTCCGCAGGCTGTCCAGTTTCTTGCTGGAAGAGGAACTCCAAGCTGATGCTGTTTCCCAACTGCCCAGGGCTGGTGCAGGCGAGTTTGCTGTCCAAGTTCAAGGGGGTGCCTTCAGCTGGGATGGCTCTCCAGAGAAGCTCTCGCTCTCTAACATCCACTTTCACGTGTGGGAGGGCGCTACTGTGGCAGTGTGCGGCATGGTCGGTTCTGGAAAGTCAACCTTACTGTCCTGCTTGCTGGGACAAGTGCCAAAACTTGCGGGAAAGGTAAACGTTTATATAATTGGATGCCAACATTGACTCGACCTTGACTCGACTCGAAAAAATCATGTTTTTTCATGCACGCAGGTCGAGCTGCATGGGAAAGTTGCGTATGTTGGGCAAACTGCGTGGATACAGAGCGGGAAGGTTCAGGACAACGTGCTCTTTGGAAGTCCTTTGGATCAGTCCAGGTATGACAAGGTTCTGGAAATGTGCCAATTGAAAAAGGACTTGGAGGTACTTCCTTATGGTGACCAAACAGAGATTGGTGAGAGAGGCATAAACCTCAGTGGTGGACAAAAGCAGAGGATTCAGATTGCTCGTGCTCTATACCAAGACGCTGATATCTACTTGCTTGACGATCCTTTCAGTGCTGTCGACATTGAGACTGGAACTCACATGTTCAAGGTTCGACGGAGCTAACTCTGTATTGCGTCTCTCCCTCCATATATGCGTATATACTCATTTCAAACTTCACACGTACAGGAAATCATCCTTAAAGCGCTAGCGTCCAAGACAGTGGTGTTAGTAACTCATCAAGTGGAGTTCCTGGCTGTTGCTGACTCGATACTGGTAAGTGAAAACGGTTCGCTCTTGCAGATTTGCTTGTCTTTTTCTGACGATCGAAAGTTCTCAGGTTCTCAAAGATGGCTGCATCACGCAGCAGGGGACATACCAAGAGTTGCTGAAGAGTCAAGCTGACTTCAACACGCTGGTGCATGCACATAACAAGGCGATGGAGTCCGTAGATCAGAGTTCAAAGTCTCAGCAAGTTCTGCCCGCCGCCGCTGACGACAACGCTGCTGCTGGTACCATGAGTCCGCAGCCAAAACAGGCGAACCAATTGCAACAGCTGGTTAAGGAAGAGGAGCGCGAGCAGGGCAGCATACACTTGGCACTGTACTGGAGTTACTGCACAGCTTACTCCAAAGGTGCCCTGATTCCACTGATAGCCATTGGGCCGCTAGCGTTCCAGGTGTTTCAGCTTGCTGGCAACTGGTGGATGGCAGCAACCTCACAGCTTTCGGTTGCCGCAGCCAAGCTTATCGGTGTCTATGTGGCGTTGACACTCGGGGGATCACTCTTATTTCTTGGAAGGATGGTACTGATAGCCATTATGGGCCTGGGAACATCACAGATTTTCTTCTTCAACATGCTCAACCATATTTTCCATGCACCCATGTCCTTCTTCGACTCCACTCCAGCCGGTCGCATTCTCAGCAGGGTAAGCATATTGTTTGTTTCTTCTTGTTCACATTGAGTTATCACTTGTTTCCGACAGGCATCTTCTGATCAGAGCGCTCTAGACCTGGACGTACCATTTCGGATTGGTGGTCTTGCAAACTCAACCACGCATTTCATATTTGTGGTTGGAGTGCTGTCGCAATCTGTGTGGCAAGTTTCAGTCGTGTTTGTGCCTGTGGCGATCCTCTGCGTCAAGCTCCAGGTGCGTGATTGATGAACACAAATGCTTGGTTATGATCTTTCTTATCACAGAGGTACTACATGGCATCAGCTAGAGAACTGGCAAGACTTCAAGGCACGCAGAAAGCTCCCATTATTCACCACTTTTCCGAGTCACTAGCTGGGGTAGCCACCATCCGAGGATTCGATCAGGAAGAGCGCTTCGCGAAACACAGCCTCGCACTCATAGACGACTTTTCTCGGCCGGATTTCTATTCCACCGGAGCCATGGCGTGGGCGACCCTGCGACTCGAGTTCTTAACCAACATCATGTTCGCCGTCTTTTTGTTCACGCTCGTCTACTTGTCAGGCAGCGTCGATCCAAGTAAGTTTCTCCACTTTTGTGTTGTGACATCTTATTGCGAACGGACGGCATGCACAGGTTTAGCGGGGCTGGCAGTGACGTATGGGTTGAACATGGATCTCCCGTGGGTCCTCTGGTGTTTATGCACTGTGGAGAAGGTGATCATATCCGTGGAGAGAATTCAGCAGTACAGTTGCCTTCCGAGTGAGGCTTCATGGAAAGTCCAAGCAACGAAGCCTTCGGAGAGCTGGCCTTCAGATGGAACTGTGGAGCTCGTCGACTTGCAGGTTCGAAGCTACTAGTTCACTGCTCAAATGATGACCAAAAACACTTGAACAGGTGCGCTATACAGATACCTCCCCACTTGTCTTGCACGGCATCACTTGCAAGTTTCCGGGAGGTAAGAAGACTGGAGTTGTGGGACGAACGGGTAGCGGCAAGTCGACGCTCATCCAGGCCATCTTCCGAGTGATTGAGCCAGCGGGAGGGAGGATCATTATCGATGGTGTTGACATAAGTCGGCTTGGGCTTCATGACCTGCGTTCAAGGCTGAGCATCATTCCTCAAGATCCCGTGCTCTTTGAAGGCACTGTTCGCTACAACTTGGATCCACTCGGTCGCCATAGTGATGCTGAGCTCTGGGAGGTGACACAAATTTGTTTTGTTTGATCTGATCTTACTGTGTTGTCTTTTCTTTGCAAGGCACTGGACAAGTCTGAGATTGGCGACTTGGTACGCAACAAGGAGGGCAAACTTGAGGCATCTGGTACAGTCTACACCCGAGTCTACGTTCGATCTCGTACATCGCTTTAAAACTCGTGTGTTTTTCCAGTGTCGGAGAATGGAGAGAACTGGAGTGTGGGGCAGCGCCAGCTCTTGTGCCTAGGGAGGGTGATGCTCAAGCGTGCCCGAGTTTTGGTGCTGGATGAAGCTACTGCTTCCGTGGATACTGCTACTGCTGCGGTCCTTCAGTCGACCATTTCGAAGGAGTTCACAGGCTGCACCGTCATTACCATAGCTCACAGGCTGCCTACCGTCATCGGCAGTGATCTCGTCCTCGTCCTAAGCGATGGTAAGCAACTCTGCTTCTCTCTTTCCATGCCTAACCGAAGCGGGGTAACTTTATAGGACGAGTGGTGGAGTATGATGAACCCGCGAAACTGCTTGACAAGGGCTCTTCACATTTTAGCAAGCTCGTCAGCGAGTACTCTGCGAGCAAGATTTGTAGCACTTAGCATTAAACCTGTCATGACCAAGCCAATCTAAAATATCCGGCATCCGATGTGACAATATAGTTAAGAATCGCTATACATGATAAGAGTAAATGAGATAACTTTGATCAGCACACTCTGGAGGGCTGAACTCTTCGAGAGCGGAGCCTTGCGGCGATGTGCTGCGTCTGCCGCTCTTGTTTCACCGCCACCACTGGCTGCTGCCTGTTGCATTCCTCGCCATCTTCTTCCGAGTCCGATATCACCAGAATCACCCGGTCCTCATCGCCACCGTATCTAAGCTCCCGCTTCACAGGAGCCTCGTCCTCGGAAGATCCCGTGTCCTGAGTAGCCACTTTCTTCTTTGCTCGAGCCCTGGCCTTCTGATTCTTCTTCTTCGCCTGGGTTGTCTTCCTGATGCTCTTGCTCTCGTCCTTGATCACGTCTTCGTCCTCACTCTCGAGCTCTCTGTCCTTGACGACATCATCAGCAAGCTCAATTTCCTTCCCTTCCTCGCCACCACGGCGCGTGAGAATGAGAAAATGTGCTACAGACTTGTAGCCCATCCGCAAAGCCTGCACAAACAAGCAAAAAAGCTACGTTTGTTACGGCACAAAGCTCGTGTAGCTCTCTTTACCGTCCTGTAGAGATTCCCAGTGGGAGCCCAGCCTTTCCTGGTCCGGCAGATGCTACAGTTGCAGATGCCTCTACACACCGGGCACTTCCAACTCTTGTCCGCAAGAGCTTCCTTGACGTTCTCTCCATATCTATATGCAAAAGGAATCTAGAAAAGAGACACCTTGGAAAGCCTTACCTCATGAACAGGCAGTCGCCGCAAAACTGGCCGTGCAGCGACTCACACTCGTAGCAAAAGGTGCGAAGACCGACAGTCTTTTGCCTGTAGATCATCAACCAAGAAAGGAGAGAGAGGCATTGGAGAGAAAGAAAGAATGGATGCTAACCTGCATTGGTGGCATGTTTTGCCGGAGAAGGCGTCGTAGATTCGCTCCCCTCCATTGTAGCCATCCACGAAGAGCTGCCACTCCTCCTTGGCGCAGCCCAGGAGCTTCTCGTGTTCTTGGGTGTACACCTCCGGGATGGGGCCGCCGGTTCCTGCAAGGCGCCCACTGCGACGAGAGCGGCGCTCGGATGGAGAGGAGCTTCGTTCTTGCACATCGCGATAGCAAGGAGCCGGACACGACTGGAGCCTGGACAAGGAAGAAAGAGAAATGGAGAGCTATTGGAGGAGAAAAGAAAGAAAAAAGACAACCTTGCCGATCGCCTGGAGGGTCCAGAGGGTCGGACGACGGCGGGCGTGGGCGGCGGCCTCCTTTTCTTGGTGGCAATGTCCGCGGACATGGATTCTTTGAGGGCGCCCAGGCCCAGCTCCTGCATTCGCTTGCGATTCTCTTCGATCCTCGCCTGCCGGATGAGCTCGTACTCGCCCATCTCCTCTCTTTTCCTCTTGGACATTCTCCTCCTTTGCGCCAGAGAGAGAGAGAGAGAGAGAGAGAGAGAGAGAGAAGGCCAAAAAGAAGAACGTTCGTTCCCTAGGGTTTTGAGGGGGGTTCTAGGCACCTACTTTTGCGCCAGTTGGACGACCACAATTCTGCCAGCTAGGCGAAGCCTGTTATTTAACTCACGATCGACCATGTTGACCGAAGTTGACAAAAACCCATTTGATAGAAAAATAACAGAGCCTTGATAAAGATCGTTACAAGCGCGTAGAAAGAAGATATTTGCAAGAAATTCTTCTTGATCTTCTGACAGGACCTTGATCTTCTGACGAACGAGTCTCTTCTAGTTTCTTTTGGACCCAAATCCAAAAGCGATCGATCGAGCTTGCATCAAAGATTGAGCAGCGCTCCCCCAAAGACGTTTCTCAAGATGCATAACTTTTACGTAGCCAAAGTTTCATAAACCTTTTGCTACTCTCATTTCTTCCGGAGAGGCTGGAAGAGATCCCTTGCAACTTGTCTACCAGGCCCTCAAATCAAAATCCTCTCCCTTGGGCTTAAAGGCCCATACCACAAAGCCACACTTATAAGCCGGGATAAACAGTGGAGGCAATCTCTCTCACGCCCGCTAGCGATAGCTCCAAGCTCGCATGCCCGGCGGTGACTGCAGAGAAACGAAGAAACCAGGCCAGGCACGACCATGAGAGAAGAACTCACTCCAAAAACGGTAAAGCTATTACCTCGCAGTAGTGCCTTGAAATCTCTCGCAAAATCGTCTGCTCTCAGCGAGACTGGTGTGACGCCACACACCCGAAAAATGCACGCCTCCAGATACAAGGACTTCTCCAGGATACTCAGCAGCATGCAGCACGTATCCCCAGCTTCCTTCGAAAGTGAAGATCCTGCCTTGCTGGTAGCGATTTCGGACGCGACTAGCATAACTTGATCCTGGAAGAAACAGTCATTCAAGAGTGTAATCTCGTCAATCTGATTTACCTGCAATGCGTGGAGTATCTCGGGAGCCGGCAGCTCTGGAAAGCGGCCTTTCGTAGCCGATGACCGGCCTTCTTCCATGTCCTGCAATGCTTGCCGGGCTTGGATGACGAGGAAGCGGAGCAGGAGGTTGGCAAGCCTGTACACCTGAATCGCGATCGACTCCGAGTACTCAGAGCCCGACGTAGAATCAAGCTCGTTCCCGGTCGCAGAATGCGGCTTCCTGTGAGAGCCCCTGGCGGTAAGAAGAAACCACGCTGAAGTGCCACCCAAGGTGGCAGCCTTTGCAAGAGCGACCGTCTCCTGCCTTTGAAGAGGAGGACACGATACTCCTTCGCCAGTGGCCGACCGAACTAATCCTTCGCGTGCAACATAGGCCAGCAGATGCACAGCCATCTCGCGGAAGTCGACGAGCTCGTCTCGGACGGTGTAAACGGCAGCAATAGGATGACGGATAATCTCGCACAGAAAAGCCGTCACGTACTGGGCCTCTTGAAGCGCCGAGGAGCTCGTTTGAGCACGATGATATCTTGCCACCTTTCTGCCTTCTGAATCCACGCAGACGTTGGGAGAGCATAACGCCAAGAGGATTTTATGCCTCTCAGCTTTGAAGTAGGAGATGGTGCTGTCCAGTACAGTTCCCCGGTATGCGTCGTTGTCCCCCAGAGCACGCAGCAAAGAAGCCACTGCGGCCACACCCAACGCCCACACTGCTTGCTGTGAGGACGTCTCGGTCATTGATATGGAAAACGGTCCTCCTCCATAGTCTTCCTCCCCACGGTGACTAACCAATGATATAGAGTGCAAGAAGCCCGCAGTGAAAAGCATCTCCGCTCCACTCTTGAAGCAGGATAGGTAGAGACAGAAGCTCATAACAGTGGCACGGGTGTTGTCATCGCCTCCTAGTGCCATGGACGACACGAGGGACTTGGTCGGAAAATGAGCCTGTAAGATAGGAATCCACGTTGATGGAACCAGACAGAACCTGATGACCATGTTCATAGCAGCCAAGGCCAAGCACCTGTAGTCCTTGTTCTCAACCATGCCGCACAGCATTGGAAGAAAGCTCAAGGTTTCGGCACCGAAGTCAGCCTCGCCTGTAAGTTCCACCTTTGCGGACATAACTTCAAGCGCCACCAGCAGGCACCCAAAGAGATCCTTGAGAGTCACGTCCTTGGCACGTTGAGAGTCCAATATAGACTTGATGCAGCTCAGAGATGTGGTGATAGCGGTCGCACAAATTCCACGTAGCTTGTGCTCTTCAGCATTGGTTTCTGGCGAAATCAATATCTGCCACATCATTGCCTCGAGAAGCTTTGATTGACATGCTACGAACTTCGGCACATAGATTGCTCGATCCATCTCTGCAGATGTAACGGTCCTCTCAAGTCGGACACAGACTCGTTCCACTAAACTTTTGAGAGTGTCGCAAGTCCAGACTTGACTCTGGAGACAACCCAAACGTAAGAAATTTGGAAGAACGAAGACGAAAATCAGACTTACCTTCTTCTCCGCACCAGAAATCTTGACAACGTCCACAAGGCTAGTCACTGCCGAAATGTGAGCGGCTCCGTTGTGGATGATGTCATTGGCTTTTTCAAGACTGTAGAGCACGTTTTCTGCAACCTTGGTGGTCAATACATCGCCATCTCGATCCCAAAACTCCAATCCTAACGCACATCTGAGTAAGTTGACGTCATAATGGCGGAAATCTTCATGAAGTGTAGGAGACGACGTAGGAGGAATCAAAGCCGTATCCAGTTCTATATCCGCCAGAAAGTTCGAGATGTCTTGGAAATGGCGATTAGAGATAGTTCTACCATGCAAATCTCCTTGAAGGTTATAATACAGGTCGCTCATAACCAGCAGTTCGATGCTTCCCGAATAACTGCAAAATTTCCGAAAAGCTAAAGAAACTTGTTATGAGAATGTGATGACAAACCTATAACCACGAGAACTGTATTGATTCACGAGCTCCTTGAAAGACGGATGCGACAGTATCTATTAAAAACAGATTAGTCACATCGAGAAATAAATAGACACAACCTGAGAGGAGCGCTGAAGAAGACATTTGGTAAATGAAACATCCATCCCCTTGTTGTCACCTGACAAAAGCTTAACCAGCAAACCGATAACAAAGCACTTCGCTTCCCGCTGCAAGTCAGGCATTTAGATAGATGATGAACAAAGTCATGGTCGATCACCTTTGTTTGAAGTACGAATTCCTCTGAGTGATCATAGTCTACGTAGGAAGATAGAATCTCGCGAAGCTGAGTTGACGAAATCCAGTCAGATAATACAACATTCGATCTTCGCTTCAGATCGTTTGTCTTTGACTCAGCCGTTCTTGACACGGACTGAATAAACATATCGTAGATCATTATCTGAAAGATTGACGCCTGACAACGACGGCACAGAGCACGAATAACGTATTCTTCCTGGGATGAGATGTCGGGATCTAGAAGCTCAACAGCTCGATTGGACAGCGTCTCCCAAAAGGATTTCTTATTCCTCAGCACTGTGATCCCAGTGAGGCATTCGCTACCACCTTGCCATATTGAGAGCAGCAAGGACAGGAGACGAGAAAATACTTCCAAGTACCTGTATGAATTCAAAGTAAGTTAAGAGCTACATTGAACAAATCATACCGTCTGGAGAAAGACGTAGGAACTGTCAGAAGATTCCAAATGGCATTCAAAACTTCAGAACTCTTTTCAACATTTCCATCCTTTTCAGCTTCGGCCTCTGACTCGATCCAAGGGGAAATTAGCAATTCCAGCATACCAGGCTGTGAAATACACAGTTACAATTGAGCACAGAAGCGTTTAACATACCTGCCACGAGATAGCGCTAGTAACAAAGCTTAAAATGGAATCGAAAAGAGCAGGACTTTCAAACGCAGAACTTTCTGAGAGAATTCTCTCTATAAAATCACGCATATGTCTCTTCTGCAAACACATCTGCATTCAGCCAGTTTCGTAAAAACAAAGAAATCGTACCGAATCCACACCGGAGATATAGCTCGCAAGGTTCACAGCTTGGGGCTTTGCCTTTTGGCATATCTCACAAAGCTTCCCCAAGATACGCGCACTCAAAATTTGCAGCCTCTGAAATTTTTATTAGTATGCATGTTGTTAATAGTGATATTTGTCTTACAGTGCACCGTTGAAATCCAAAGTATGACGTGATAATTGTAATAACTGAAGTCGAAGAAGCAGATTTGTGGAAAAGGAACTGGCATAGAGGAGAAACGGCAAATGCATCCTAAAACCAAAGCGGAAAATGTTTAAAACCTCACGAACAAGAATTACAAACCGTGTGATGTTCAAGTATCGTATTAATGAGACACAGTGCGGCACAAATTGCTTGCAGCAGAGTGTCAACCTCCTTTACAGGAACGAGACGATATGTATACAGCTCCTGCAGAAAACAGTGAGAACGAGTGAACAATGACATGCTTTAACATACCTCTAGCTTATGCGCACTAACAGTCAAAATTTGAAACAACAAACTATGAATGACAGTATCGTTTAGAATTTCCTCCAATACGGCGCTTCTGAGCTTATCCTCGTGCCAGAAAGTTCCTCTCGTTGCCAAATCGAGCATTTGATAAATCTGAAAATTACATCAAACTTGAACGAAAGGGAATAACACGCAATACCTTGGCAGACATGCACCATCGCTCGTGCCTTTCTTTGAACTTCCAATTGGAATAATTTACGAGAATACTATGCATGGAGTGAATCACGAAGCCAGATAAGGAATCGGTCCGAACTCCTTTCTCGAGCAGCAAGATTGCAGCATCCAAGACTAGAAATGCAAGCATCAGTACACAACCATACAGAAAGTTCACATTGGAGAAATTACCAGCCAGTGTTAAACAGTATCGACCGCTACTCTGTTCCAGCTTTGAAAGCTTGCAATAGAGATACTCTCCAGACACAATACTGCATTGATGCAACATGAGAGGGGCGAATTTTTTTTGAGAAAGTACCTTTTGTCCGAGGACTGAATTAAACCGGTTTTTTCTACTCCCGCCATAACTTGTCCAGGGAAGCTGCAACATTAATGAAAGTCCTTAAACGACGTAAAAAATGTAATCATGCCTGTTTGCGAGTTTTTGAAGCAGGCTGACGCTCTCAGCAATTGCTTTCAGCTCTCCAGGACAGCCAGAAACAAGGTTCTTGATAACAGAGCACACAAGGCTAATGACGTCGATCCTGAAAAGCGCATACAAGTTCATCTTTCCATGTCCAAAGATTGAATACCTTAAGCTCCTGTCCATCTTGCCATCAGCGCGAGCAGTTGTTGCAGCTACTGACTTGTCAATGCTAACCAAATGCAATGAGATATCCTGCCAAAAAACACAGTTACACCGGAGACAAGAAGCAAAGTAACATAAGCGCCACCTTATTTGATGATAACATTTTGTTCAAGAGAGAAACAACAGAGAGTATTCCTTCAACGCTCTCTTGCGGCCACTGAGCCAAGCAAGACAGAATAGTTACCAGGGCACTGTGCTCGCACTGCACCAGAAACGGACACTGATTTTTAGAAAGTCGAACACCAGCATCATTACCTCCCAGCGCACAAGAGCTACTCCATCATTATACCGCTTCAAAACACGTCCAACAGCACCCGCTGGGATATATAGACCCGAGCAATTAGGAATCTGAACGGCGCTGGAAATATGTATAACAGAACCAAAACTTTCTTCCTCTTGGTTTGGGCGGTATAGACAAATAACGGGTATTGTCTGGCACAAAAAATTGTACCTACAGAACCGAATCGCTTTTAACAATCCACCACGGAAGAAAATGTGTACTTACACGCACTCCGCAGACCAACGCCCTTCACACAAGCACGACAATAGACGCAATAGGGGGTCTATTTCCTGTGGAAAATTATCTCGGAGTGAATACAGAAAGCTTCGTATTGGTCCGTCCACGGCAACTTCCTTGTCCCAGAAAGCGGTGCACAACCACTCCTGCAAAAAGTCCAATCAAATGAATACACAAATCGAGCTGCGTAAAGTATAGAACCTGTCCGTCATACGTTTCACAAAGAAGCTCAATAAGCTCGTTTTGAGAAGTTATGTCAGCCTGCATGAACGATCATAACGAAAAACCAGTATGACTGCATTGATATACCTGGCAAAAATCATAAGCAGCTATGCATGCGGCACTCAGCGTTTTGACAGATCCATTGTATATGAAACCTGCGAAATGGTTGTAAGACAAGGTTCCACAACAATAAGCCCACATACTCACTCACGTCAGAATCTTTCAGTTGCTCCGAGCGCATGAATTTCAAAAGAAAGGCATAAGCCCCGTACTTGAAGGCCTGCTGGGCGTAAACGGCGTGTTCTATGTCCTGTAGGATGAAAAAGAAAATAAATCGTGCGCATGGGGCATCTAATACTCACCAGAACCATAGCCTGATCGGGAAGTGACGATACCAAACAGATAAAAGTTGCCCATGCGAGCAAAAGGGGTGCATACTCGGTAGTCACGGTGAGGTCAAGGCCAGATAAAACAACATCCAGTTCTTGTAACTCGTCAGCTGAAAAGCCATGCCCTCCTTGGCTGAAGTATTTGAAGCGTAAATTGGAGGAAAAAAAGAGGTACGACAGGTTTTACCTGAATGATATTTCTCCATGCACCAAAGTGAGAACTAATCGTAGATCCAGCACCTCTATAAGGATCAATAAAGCTTGACTTCTTACGTGGGCAAGTGTCTTTTCTGCCTCCGATGTAACTGCTAGCCTCTCGCTGTACCGTGCTTCGAATACGAACTGCAGAATCAGCAAAGAAACCATCATTCCATTTGGCAATCAGTGCTACGTACCTGAAAAGAAACAAACAGATCTTTCCATGTCTGGACGCTGCAGCGGGAGTCCGAAAAGGTCATAAATAATATGTCCATAAGCAAAGACTCTTCTGAAACTATTTCATCGGCCCACGCGTCCGAAAATTTGGAATCCTGCAACAAACGAAGCATCAGAGAGATGGGAATGATCCAAAGTACGAACCCATTGCTCAGGCCGTGTAGAAGTGACTACGTGGTTCAGGTTTTCAAGCGCCCGTTTGCCCAGATCCTTGTCAATGAGATCCTGGACCTTCCTAGACATGCATTGCATTGTGAGAAGAAGGCGGGTGCATTTGAGTAAGCATTGTCTTTCCAGAAAGTAAGTTATGGCAACCTGGAAAACTTGCGCATTAATACTTGAATGGATCGGAAGGAGAAAACTTACGCTTTGTGGCAGTAATGGATCGTCGCAAGGCACCGACGGGTTATTTTCCATATGCCTCGAGAGAAGAATATAGCTTTGAATCTCATCCAGGTCCTACAAAGAGCAACACAAAGAATTCTTCTCGAGATCAAGTACTGCTGTGCAGGCCTACCAGATGCTTGCTGATCCCAAGAGCTGTGCCCTGTAGCTCAGGCTTGACATCCAAAGAATGCGAACCGACAGTGATCTTGGATCCCTTCAAGGCTTGGTTGGAGGCGGCATTTGGACGTTTGAAAGCGAGAAGCATGTCGATCAGCCAGTTTTGGTGCTCCAGCAGCCTCTCCTCCTGCAAACAATCGGTGGCAAAGATGCTACATTCTCTCTTGAAGACACACCAATGGATGGATACCAACCAGTTCGATGCGCTTGCGCTGACGGGGTTGAGTGGCATCGCCATCGTCCTGGGCGTCCTCCGCGGCGGCGAAATCCTCGAGATCCTCGAACAGATCCCTGTGAGACTCCCACCACAGCGCCGCGGGCGTCGCCATCGCCAAAACCCTAGCTAGACCCCTTAGGTAGAAATTTTGGTTTTCATCCAAGAAATTTGTCCAATGCCGCCACCAGGGCCGCGGGCGAGGAGCGAGGATATGGTAGCAGGGTGCCGAGCTCCATCGCCTTGACGGCGGCCACCAGCGTGGACGGCTTTGCACAGATCAAGAATCGATTGCGCGCCAGCTCCTCGGCGAGCTCGCACTGATGATTGTCCATGAGATCCTCGTTGATCACTACCACCAGAGGCTTGCCCGCGCGTAGCGTCTCGAAGATACTCCCGGACCCTGGCATTCAATCACATTCTTTTGAGTCGATTGATCGATCGATCGATCCATGGATCACTCACCCGCGTGACTGATGACCAGATCGGCGCTGCTCAGCTGCTCGCCCAGATTGGGAGCAAATGTGAAGTAGTCCACTCGGAGACGATGGTGATCGTCGTCGCGCTCGCGCGTCGTGATTTGTGGGAGGTACGTTCCGCGGCCAATTTGGAGGCGCAGTGACGAGTAGCCTCGCGAGAGTAGCACGTCTTGGAATTCGTTGCTGTCGACGATACGAATCAAGGCATCAAAGCTGGTGGTGCCAACCGTGACGAACACCCGACCAGAAGGCTCCATAGCCAAAAACCCTATTACGTTCTATGTTACAAAGAAGAAAACCTTTACAAGAACTTTAGTAGTCTAGACTCACTCAAAATGGCTTGAGATCCAAACCGGCATCGCGTTAGCTCCTTTCTCACTGCTCGGAACTTGGATTAGTGGACGCTCTCCCTCGTTTCGTCGAGAAACTTGGCCGCCACAGTGGCCTCTCCCGCTTCGTGAGGCTTGTAGCAGCAAAGATGGACAGTCCCACCAGCAGCGCTCCTCCAAACACGTTTCGCAACATGTTTGGCCTCTGCCTCGTCTCCACCTTCTGCTCCTCCTCCTCCGCAACATTGCTTCCAAAGTCTTTGGAGCAGCGTACCTCTGCTGCGTCGCAGGAGCTGGAGAGGCTGGAAGATAATCCTTGAAACTTGTCTACCAGGCCCTTGGAGCACACAATGCAGTCGGAGCAATCCTCCCCCTTGTCCACGGCCGACGCCGGCGGCCTTCTCAAGAGCGTGCTACTGTCCACTGGTATATCTGCACGGATCATAGCTCAGCTCCGTTAGAAGGCCAGTGTTAGATTTTTGCCAGACCTTTCTCGTCTTCCGTCTTGCAAGTAGCCACGAAGTTCTTCAGCTTGGAATCCAGCTTGAAGAGCACCGTCTCTAGTTCTTCCAGTAAGTTCATCTGCATTTAAAGATTAAGATGTTCACTCAGCCGGGTTCTAATCTAACATTCGAAACAGTCTGTTTACCTCTGGAGAAAGCTCGGCTCCATCCTGCTGCCATAAAAACAATGTAGAAATGAGATCACGTCTCTCCCAGCAAATTTACATGGAACATACATACCTGACTTCTACGGAGCTGCTGATTGCTGCAGCCGCCTCCCTCGGTGAAGCTTGCGTCCAAGATGTCGCTCGGAAGACTTGAATAAGAAAAACGTATTAGGTACAGCAAAAGTTGCATCCACCGGGTCGCGGGCTTACCTTTGCTTGTGATGTATTATAGTGTCGAGATCCGGAATGAACAGGTTCTCTGGATTACCAAGGCAAGTACATTCCAGCGTCATCTGTTGCATTACACCAAGCATTCTTATTTTATTCTCACGTCGAATGCACAAGAGAAATATATTCCAAGGAAGAGAGCTCTACCTTCAGTTTGGGTACATAGCCTTCACGCGGACTGGACGCACAGAGAGGATATTTGATGTACACCTCCGAATCCATGTCGTCGAGAAACTAGGAGGTACACGTTATTAACAAAGAAATGACCAAGGTTGGGCACACTTACCTCTTTTAAGTCGAGAGCAATATGACCCGCCAAACCAGAACTGTAAGCCTGTTATAGAAACAAAACCACGAGAGTTGGACCCGTTCATCATTCCATGAAAAAATCGAGGATGGAGGGCGAGCAATCATCTACCTGATCTGCGATTCCAAGGAGGAAAGGAGAAACAAAATATAAACCTTTAGTCGAGAGAAAGAACAAATCAAATCGCTCATACCTATGTAAATGTGGAGCTTGCCGAGATCGTCTTCCTTGGCGCAGAAGAGGCGGCAGCTAATCCTCTGGTCGATGAGGCACTCGTCTTGCACGATGTCGAATTCGCCCAGCTCCTTCTGCTTGGACCCATGCAGGACTGTGATCTTTAAGCTTCTCTTGGCCGGAATCCGGAAGCTAGAGCTGGTGCTGAAGGAGAGGCGCATAGGCGACGGGATGCGCGTCACTCGCAAGATTGTGATGGTGAAAACGTAGACGCGGGGGCCCTGGATTGAAGAATTCCTATTCGCCATGGCTGCTGCGGCGCTTCCTCTCGCCGATCGCGCATCAAGACGACGAGCTTCTTGCTCGCCTGGCGCCCCAAAGAATCAATCGATCATACCTAGCTAGCGCGCGCTGTTGGAAAAGAGAGAGAGAGTATGAAACCCTGGATCAAACAAGACGACGATGAATGGACGCGCAGCGCAGCGGAGGGCAAGTAAAAATGCGGCGGCGGAAACCCCTTTGGTAGTTTTTATGTATAGTAAAAACTCGACATTCTCCTCCAAACGGGTAGCTAGCTCGCCAATATTTACCACCACGGGACAACGGCTGCTTTTTCTTTTTTACCATCGGCAGTCCCAGTGACCGTTAGAATGTGACAGAATATTCTGATCATGACGGTGCCCGGATATTCCATCTATTCAACTCGTTGACGGATGGCCAGTCAACCCAATTCCGTTTACTACGAAAAGAGCATGGGCTTTGATAGAAATGAAATAGTATAATTGCATGAAGGAGCGGACACACTTGGCACCGGCAATGCATGCTGGATCATATATAATCAATCAATCAAACCTATGCTCAAAGCAACCGAAAGTTCTCGCCTCACAATGAAGGCTGCTCTAGTGTTTCTTGTGCTTGTGTTCACCACGTTCGAGGTCACTTTGTCTTCTTCAAGTAGGGATCTCTTGTCCGTCGGTGGAGTTCATGAACAGCAGGATTCACCAGCCGCTCTATCTTTCGGGGATGATGGTGACGATTTTCACCAAGGCATGGACAGGAAGAGGAGCCACAATGGCAACAACATCAACATCAACATCAATTTCAAGTGTAAGGATGATCATGTAGATTCAAAGGACGATAACAAGGCTAAGGATGACACAAGAGAGAAGAAACACAAGGAAGTCAAGGATGACAAGAGGGAGGAGAAGAAAAAAGAGGATATGGATGACAAGAGCAAGGAGAAGGACGAGAAAGACAAGGATATGGATGGCAAGGACAAGAGCAAGGACAAAGACGACGAGGAGAGAGTGTTTCCCTAGAAAATGGAATCTAAAAGAGCACAAACTATGAAGAAATAAATCCATGATCTTCGGATTGTTTGCTTGAAACCCTAAATTTTAGGGCAACTGGTATGGATGAAGAGTTTGTCCCCGAGGCCGTGGCGCTGGATTGCGGGAATGAGAATGTGGAGGCGGTCGGGATCACAATCATCACTGGCTACCTCGGTGCCGGCAAATCTACGGTAGCATTCTTGCGCGAGCAAGCAATGGATTTTCACAGTGAGTTTGATCGCAGCTGGTGAATTTCATACTCCATGCCCAGCACGGCAAGCGAATAGCCGTCATTCTCAATGAATTTGGCGACGAGCTCGGTGTGGAGAGGGCGATGATCAATGAAGGTGAATCCGGTGCGCTTGTCGAGGAATGGATCGAGCTCCCCAATGGCTGTGTTTGTTGCAATGTCAAGCACAGCTTTGTTCAGGCACTAGAGCAGCTCACCCAGCGCCGTGACAGGTGAATTTCTTCCCCGAAGTTTTCACTTTTTTTCATGGCTTTTCTTACAGGTGTGAGCATGTCTTGCTCGAGACAACCGGGCTTGCCAATCCGGGTCCAGTGGCATCCACTCTTTGGATCGATGATCAGCTTGAATCGTCGGTGAGACTGGACGCCATAGTCACGGTAAAGTTGATTGCATTCTAGATAGATTGATCCTTTGACATTATAAATCAGGTGGTTGATGCCAGGAACTTGCAGCATCAGCTGGATGATAGGGAGGACGCTGAAGCATTCTTGCAACTAGCGCATGCAGTATGAAACCTTTCTCTATCACTAGCGAAAACATGCTGAGATTTTTTACTTTTTTATTTTTCTGCTTCTTTTCTGTAGGACGTGATCATTCTCAACAAAGTCGATCTGGTTGACGAGTGCACGCTAACGGATGTGAAACAACGAGTTGCTGGGATCAACTCTATTGCGACTGTCTTGGAGGCTGTACGCTGCGAGGTTGATTTAGATGTAGTTCTCAATCGGAGAGCTTATGCTACCAGGGTAATGGTCTTTGTTTTCGTTTTTTCCTTCTTTGTCTTCTCCTTCGAGCCTATACTATCTTCTTCCTGTGGTGTTTAGGACTCGATTAACCTCCGGGAACTTGAGAGGAAGCACGACGCAAACTTGCATGGCCAAACGGTCACAACAACCAGCATCGAAGACGACAGGCCCGTGATTTTGAAAAAGGTTAGGACGAGGACGTTGTGCTTTACTCCGAGCTAAACTTTGCCTTGTAGGTGGATGATTGGCTGGGAGATATTCTTTGGGAAAAGAAAATGGAAATTTATCGAATGAAGGCCATACTTCATGTTCATGGTGCGCAGGAAATGCATTTGCTACAGGTAGAATTTGGTGTTTAATTCGATTCTTTCGCATCATAGTTCTGTTGCAGGCTGTCCGTGAACTATACGAGATTCTTCCCGGGAGGCTGTGGCGGCCAGCCGAGAAGCGCCAGAGCAAGATAGTTATCATTGGTAACCATTTTTACAGTTTTTACAGTTCTAAGTTATCAATTGTGTTCATATACACCAGGTCGCAACCTCGACAAAGCATATCTTCAAAGCTCTCTCTCAGCGTGTTGTTTCTCTGGCGGTTTGGCAGACGAAAAAGTGTGCTCTCAAAGTATTACCTGTAAGAAATGGTCTGATTTTATTTTCATTTAGCTTGTGCGCTGACACAGGATTTTGCTATTGACAGGCAATCTTGGCTCTTCTACGGGTATCTCACTCTCTGTGGAGCGAACTTTGGAAGACGAGCTTGGAACACGTCGTTGAGGACTGTCAGTGATCCTAAGCTTGTTTTGAGGAGCTGGAGAACCTGGCAGCGAAAAGATTCGTGAGTAAAACGGTAGCAACAGGTAGAAAACAATGCAAACCTCAACGGGTCCAAGTTGAAGCTCAATTGTTTCGAGATCCGACACGGCCTCCACTTTATACATGCTCATCAGAGCCACGCTCTTGGCCACTGACACTGGGAAGATTTGGAGGTCGTCAGTGATCATGAAAGTTACATTCTCCTTGACAAAGCCCTGAGAGGAGGAAGAAGGAGGTTTGGCTGGTCTGGTGGCGGCTGCTGGGCTCGCAAGCACTTGCACAGGGACATTCATGACAAAGCCACAGGTGGTGCATCTCTGCGTGTTGTCATCCATGGCAATCGCTGGACAGAGTCTTCCCGACGAGCAACGGTAGAAGCTGTGATCACTGGGCTTGAAAGAGGCAGCGGCACCACCAGAGCTGGCCAAGGCGTTCTCGATTCCCAGGAGCTTGTCCATGAATCCTTCGGGAGCTTGAGGATCAACCAGGAGCTTCTTGTCGACGTGCATGACGGCGTCGTCCATCTGCTGGACGCTGGTGAAGATCCTGGCAACGCCCACCTGTGCTTCGCCGTGCACGAGCTTCATGGACGAGCCGACTGGTAGCAGCAGAAAAGAGAAGAGGACGTCCACGCATTCCTTGCTCGCTTCCAGGTACAAGATTCTCCTGTCCGACTTCTTGCAAACCAGCGTCACCTTCATCTTCGATATTGTGTATGATCAGGGAAGACTGATTTTGTGTGTGATCAGGGAAGATCATCCAGCGCGTTTTAAAGCTCGGCATTTGCTTTTGGAATTGGAGTCAAGCTCAAACAAAGAGCAGCCAAAAGGCTGGAATATGCTATGCTTTCCTTTGTAACGAATTCGTGCAAGAATTTATCCTCAATCCAAGCCAATGATCTCTTTCTCCTACGTTCTAGCAAGCGAGTCAAACAGTTATAATGACTAGGTAAATACTATACATACTTACTAGGTAGAAGTTTATCCCTCCCAGGTCAGGCAGGCGAGGTGGGCGTGGCTTTGTTTGGCGATGGCGCAAGCGCGGCGCTTACCGCCCCGCGCCCGCTTCTAGCTCGGGAATACTTCCAGGTTTGAGCGCCGATCGATCGATCGATCCCATCCATCGGTAGGGTTTTGGAGAGCTTGGAATCTTCCACTGCCGGCCGCGAGCGATGCAGATGCTCAAAAAGCTCCAGCAGCTGGATGCGTATCCCAAGATCAATGAGGACTTCCACAGCCGCACGCTGTCCGGGGGAGTCATCACTGTTGTCTCCTCCATTTTCATGGCGATCCTCTTCATCACGGAGCTTAGTACGTGGTCTTTTGTATCAATTGCTCGTTCTATGGATCACGTTTGGCTTTGGCTTTGTAGAATTGTTTCTTCTTCCGGGTACCACGAGCGAGCTCTTGGTCGATACATCTCGAGGAGAGACCTTGCAAATCAATGTAAGAAAGGAAATTTCTCCGCAAGGGAAAATAAAATCCCACTGTTTTCCAATCACGCTGACGGGTGATTCTATGACAGTTTGATATCACCTTTCCGGCTCTAGCGTGCTCGGTTATTAGTCTGGATGCGATGGATGTTAGTGGAGAACAACACTTGGACGTGGTATGTTATCAGTCAAGAGCCTTTTTTTTTTTTTTTCCTTTTTCCACTAAAACCAATCCTTGTTCTTGCTTGCAGAAACATAACATATTTAAGAAGAGATTAGATCCCTCGGGAAAGGTCGTTCAGCCTCCAGTCCAGGAAGATATCGGTGGTCCAAAGGTAAATGATTTCCTTCAGTTTTCTCGACTTTAACATTCGATTGTTGCTAGATTGATAAACCACTCCAAAAACATGGTGGAAGGCTAGAGCATAACGAAACGTACTGTGGTTCCTGTTTTGGTGCCGAGCAAGTAAGCTAAGGTATCGCCATATCGTATGGCTACTAACTCGTCCTGCTTTCATCAGTCAGATGATGAGTGCTGTAATAGCTGCGAAGAGGTCCGGGAAGCGTACCGAAAACGAGGTTGGGCAATACACAATGCCGATTTGATTGACCAGGTGCACTAAGTGAACTAAGGAGTTTGCAGTTTTCGTTTTTCCTTGTCTGGCCTTGTGTCTGAGATCTAACAAAAGCAACGCAGTGTAAACGCGAGGGGTGGCTTACAAAGATCAAGGAAGAAGAAGGGGAGGGATGCAATATCTATGGGTCCTTGGAGGTGAACAAGGTTGCCGGGAACTTTCATTTTGCTCCTGGCAAGAGCTTTTCACAACAACATGTGCACGTCCATGACGTTCAGTCCCTTCACAAGGAGAAATTCAATGTAAGCTATGGTGCTGTTGCGTTTTTCATGCAGCGTTCTTTCTTCTTGCAGGTCAGCCATTACATCAACGAGCTTAGCTTTGGCGCTCGGTTTCCAGGAGTTGTGAACCCTCTTGACAAGTAAGCGGGTCGTGTGACGAGTAAGACTTTTTTTAATCTTCGAATGAGTTGCAGAGAGAAGCGCATTCAAAAGTTTCCATCCGCTATGTACCAATATTTCATCAAGGTATAGCTCTTTGTCATTTTTGTTTCCCTCGTTGCAACTCTGTTTTACCAGGTGGTTCCGACTGCGTACACGGATATGACCGGGCACAAGATTGTCACAAACCAGGTCATAGTTTCTTCTTTGTCCTTTCGAGATGCGAAGGTATTAACAGCGATTTGCTTCAGTTCTCAGTAACAGATCATTTCAAGGCAGTAGAAGGTTTAAATGGTCGTTCGTTGCCTGGAGTTTTCTTCTTTTACGAGCTCTCGCCTATCAAGGTTCGTCAAAGATCTGTGGTCATTCTTCGTAACTTGATATGTACCCGCAGGTTTTGTTTACTGAGAGAAAGACATCCTTCCTTCACTTTCTAACAAACGTCTGTGCCATCATTGGAGGTAAGTCAACCCCTCGTTGCTGCATTCCAAAATCTAATTGAGTGTGGCTACGGATGACAGGGGTTTTCACTGTCTCTGGCATCATCGACTCGTTCATCTACCATGGACATCGGGCAATAAAGAAAAAGATGGAGATTGGCAAATATATATGAGAAAAACATTGCATAGCTTTTCCATTCAAAGGTTTTGTTCTGTCTCTCCAGCAACAGTGGCGAGCTCTAAGCATCACAATCAAATACAGTTTCAAAAGTCTGTCATTTGGTGTTCCACGCGTTCTGCGATGGAGCTTGTTCGTATTGGCGTCGAATGGCTTGAGGAACTCGGTAAACTATCGAGGTTGCGGAGCTTCGCAACCTTGCAAGCTGCGTCAAGATGTGGAAAGAGCCCGCTTGTGCCTGCGCATCAAGATCAAAGGCCCGAGCCCGCTTGTGCCTGGGCATCAAGATTAAAGGCCCGAGCTATGTTTGCATCGTTGGAGAGAGAGGAGGGGAACGATTTCAGTCCAGGGGTGTTGCAGCCAACAGGGAGGAGTTCGTGCCCGTCTCTTGCTTTAATCATTAAAATTAAAACCACAGCGAACCACTCTCAATTTCAAGTTGCCGGCTACAATAAAATGCAGTCACTGTACATCAACTTTGAAGTTGCTGTGTAAGCGCTGTCAGCCTGCACCTGGAGGTAGAAACACTTCAGAAGCGTGAAGGTATGAAGGATCGAACCGTACATTGGAAGTGATTATCCTTCTTGATTCTTGATGGCTGCTGTCATTCATTATCCTAGTTCCACAGAGCCAATATTGCTCTGGTTACATGATAGAGTTAATGTGTGTGTTTTCAAACCCCAATCTAGTGGCAGTATTGGTGAGTGTTGAAGAGGGACTTTGTGAAGATCAACGAAGAGATATTGGAGGATAGAGTTCCTTTATATCTAAGACCACTTTATATCTATGAAGCATTTTAGCTGTTGCACATGCATGATTTTTGGAGGATTAACTTATTGGACATCACACCGAACTTCATAAATTTGTGGTTTAACTTATCGCAACATTTGATATGGTCCTTTCCACTGAGTAAGGAGCTTTTTAGATAAACTATGTACCATAAGATTGAGAAAATGAATTAACACCAAGTCATTTATTTTGTATTCTACAGGTGGACGATGATAGGAGTTGTAACATTGTTATTGTCCCATTTATATACAGCTCAAGTGTTTAATAGATTTTTCTCAAACAAGTGGAAGAATGCTCGTCAAATATTAATCCCACGACTTAACATTACCAACTTGTAGCAATCACAAAGGTAAAGTCAACTCTATTGTTAGTATTGGATCATGACCATAAAAAAGTTTATTTTAAACTCTACACCCCTATAACATATGTATATTGAAGAGATGGCAAATAACCATCTCAATCTGAATGCTAAAAGTTCATGTACTTCACAATTATTCCTTTGAAGGTCCAAACAAATTATTTTACCAAACCGTTTGATTATACCTGTACTATTCAAACCCAAGGATATCTTAAGACCCTTAATCAATTAGAAAAAGGGGTGCACTTTTGTTTATGGACCCTTTCCTTCTATATTTACCCCTATGGATTGTCTCTTGAGTTATTTCCTTTGGTTGCTTACAATCCCCAACCAAAATGTCAAAATGTGAAATGCCATAGCCATAAATGCAAGACTATTATCCAAAAGAATTTGATCTAGATAGGATTGTTGGAACACTACTCAATTGAGGAGGAAGTATTCAACAACAATTATAAACATACTAGCAAGAGCACTAACTTCCATATAGTGAATCAAGTAGTTAAAAGCAATAATGACATATTCATTGCCAATAATCGATCATGAAAATGCCTCATCAAATCAAATGCCATAAACTCAAACAAATGAGAAATTGCAATTGACTCCAACCATCCTTCCACAACACAAAGGGGAGTATTACGAATTTGGCACCAAACACAATTACGTATATACTGGATAACATTACGTCGCATCTCTAGCCAATAAAAAGACCTATGTAGCTTTTTAGTCATATGACAAAGTCTCATACACCCATATAGAACAAGAAAATCATGGTAGGCATGGAGAAAATATGGAATAAAGATCGAAAGCACCACCAGTCATAAATGATCATCAAGATCCGCTCTTACAAAATAAAAAAGACTGTCTTCAAAGCAATATTAAGAATGTAAATGAGCCTCACAAACCTTGTTATGAAAAGGTAAATCTTGCTTTGCACCTTGTGAACACTAAACATCAAGTATAACAATTACTAATGGCACAAGATCCTCACAGATGCTAGAAGTATAGGCTTGTCAAAAACATGAGAAGAGAGTGAAGAAGGAAAAAGATCTCAAGAAAAAGCATTAGCATTAGCCATAAAACTCTCTAAGTGATGAATAATATGAAAATCATATATGTAAAGCTTCAAAGCCCATTGAGCAATATGCCCAATTAAGTTCTTCCTCTTCAATAATGAAGTAACTATAGCATGATCATCTGCTAGTAATGTCCGAAAACCATATAAATATGCATGAAGTTTTTCAAAACCAAATTATTGTTAAACACTCCTTTGTTATGGACTAATTCACTTTTACTAGTTGTAATATATTGTAATATACAACTAATATATGTATAATGCACAATACATCACTCCCCCTTTATTTAGAGTGGGCTCTATTTGCTTACTTGGATTTGCATCCTTGAGTAAAATGAAAGGTTGAGTGTAGTTAGGATATACCACAAATGGAAGAGTTATCAATAGCTCTTTTGATCTATAAAGGCTCGCTCATAATCCACAGATTAAATGAAAGATGACATTGACGACTTTAACAATACTCACAATGGTGTAATGTGATCAAAAAGGTGATCAACAAAGCGACCAAGATATTGCACCTTGCCTAAGAAGTGTTGCACATTATTTACATACTTCGGAGTAGGGAATTTTAAAACAGCCACAAGTTTATCAAGATCAACTTGCAAACCCTTACAAGAAATATAATACCTAAGATAAGTCATGTTTTTAGACATAAATATGTACTTTAGCTGCTTCAACTTTAAACCAACTTACTATACCTAATCCAAAACTTTACGAATATCACAAACGTGTTCTTCCCATGTCCCTTCCAAATGAATCAAGACATCATCAATGAAGTTAGTAGTCACTTTCAGCATGTCACAAAAAACCTCATCTATCATTTGTTGAAAAGTTACTAGAGCATTATTCAAACCAAATAGCATCACTAAAAACTTATATAAACCAAATGGTATATGAAAAACAATTTTAGGAATATCTTTCTCGGTTATCAACACTTGCTAATATCCAAAAGCAAAATCTAACTTGGTGAACCAATAACTTTTCCCCAGATAATCCAAAAGATTAGTAGTGTGAAGAAGAGGGTATATATTTGGGATTATTACTTGGTTTAACGGACGATAGTCGATGTAAAAATAAATACTCCTATCAGACATTATTACAAAAAGAGGTTTACACACTCAAGGACTCCATGACTTTTGAATAACATTTTTTTCTATCATCTCTTTGACATTTACATATCAAATCTTGATCTCTTTTGATAACCGACAATGAATAAGAACCTTGATTAGATAAGCATCCCCAATTGGAATAGGATAATGTGTTGTAATCTTGGCCCCAAACGATATGTCAAATTCAAAGAGATTGGTATACTCCTTTTATAAGCCAATCAATCGCTGCAATATAAAGATTGTCAGAGGGATCAAAAGAAGGAATAGAGGAACAAAATGGAAACATAGAAAAAAATAATAGGGAGATAAAAGTGATGAAAGCAAAAGTAGAAACAGAAGGATAGAAAGGAATAGAAGTGAAAAATGGAAGAAATATAAAGAAGTATGAGATAAGGGGGAAAAACATTAAAGTTACACTTTGCATGATTTCACCAGAACCAATCCATACTAAGAATGAGGTCAAAAACTTGACTTGGCACCACCCACAATGACTGCAACTCAAGCTCGAGATCGCCCATATGCATAACTAAATCCCCCTCATCCCATGCATATACGTATGTATGGCCATTGCCATACAAAATGAAAATTAACTTTGCCGCATGATGTAAATGTAGATAGTAACGTGTGGCAATAAGCCAAACAATAGAAGATAAACTTGAGCTTATATCAACTAACACAGAAAGCATAATAAGGGACTTTTTGTTGAAAAACAAGCTTGGAAAGTAAACACTGAATAAATTGGTGCTGAGTGAACCCTTTGATGATACTCTTGCAAGAAAGATGAAGGGGTCACTGATTTATTTGCACAAGGACCCTTTACTACTTGTGAAACTCTTCATTTTCTGGAAGCATCTCGATGTCCAGACCTTTTACTATAACAACACCAATAGAACATTGTTGATGCCAAGGTCTCTACCTAGGAAATGGAGATCATCAATCTGGAAAATGTTGACAATGCCGATAAATGTGATCAACTTCATTATATGGCTAGTAGCAAACATCATGTCCTTACCCTTATACTTAAATTTGGGTAGCAGTATCAACTTCTATTGGAACAAGACCATCTCCTACAGAAAGTGGAGTTGAAGGATATGCAATAAGAAAGGGAAGAGGTGACATCTCATAATATTATGCTAAGTGAAGAGCATCATCAAGGGTGGCTATGCACAAGTCTTACAAAATCTTGATAAAGTATTGGCCACAACATTCCTAACTTAATCTACTTCAATATATTTAGCTCTGCAAGAAGTAAAAGGCTTCAAAACGAATGCCAAATTGCATTATGGAGATAAATAGCCCTTGATAAAAACAATGCAATTGTCATTATAATCATTAGTATGTCCAAATATATATTTGAAAATGTCTAGGAAAATGCTCTAATTCTCACAAGTGGCTCATTATGCTTCTAGTTATTTATAATAATTGAAAGCGTCATAAGGCCTAGAAAGACAAAGAAAAGAGAGGAAACCTAATGAGTCAATAATAAGTATTGCTCCTTGGAGTTTTGACTTGAGATCAATGATATCCCACTCTCTTAAAAGAAACTCAAATCTTTTCCAGTCTAGCACATCATTGAAAGGAAGATCGTAATGGTCTGAGAGAATCACTGGTGTGACATGACATGCAAGGTTAGGCAAGCACATGGTAGCACTTAGAAAGACATACTTCACATATATCCATAATGTATAGAGTCGATAATACATGCATTGTTGACTTGTAGCTGCTAGGACAAATGCAAAACTTGCTCTAAAAAACTGCTTCTGGTAC